GACCACGCTTTGGCATAGGGCAGAAAACTTATTGAGCTCTTCATGATTCAAAACATAAATCATTTCTTGTATTCTAATGAGAGATTGGACTTTAAAGTTTTTCGTGTTGATACAAAGCAAATGAACTACGTTGAGGTGGAGAATATGGGCGATCGGACAATTTTTGTTAGTGATAATGGTGCCGGATATTGTTGTCCTTCTATAGGAACAAAACCAAATTCGATTTACTACACAAATGAAAACGACAGGAATCTCCATATCTTTAATTTGGAAGATAGAAGCACAAGTTCAATCTTGGTGTCCCGAGCTATTGGAGCCAACATGTCGATGACCTCTTGGGTCCAACACAATATCTTCCACAATTAAAGATAGTTTTGAATGCATTATTAATTAGTTTGTTTTGTTTATTTTGTTATGTTATGGTTCTATTCTAGTACTTGATGATAATCCATTTATTGATTTTTTAAGCTCCTATTTATTGAATTCTATTTAATGAGTTTATGAGTTCAAGTTAAGATGTAGGTTTGATTATTACTTACAAATACAATTAAGAAGGGAAGGCTATTTGGTGACACGTATATTTATATGTAATTTAGTAAATTATTTATATATTCTTTCGCAAATTAATTAATTAAAATTGGGGTTAATTACAACCACCTTTGAGATATAGTTGAATCTTTCTCTCAAAAAAAAAAAAAAAGAGATATAGTTGAATCTCCTTACATGTCCAGTCTTATGGTGTCAAATTCAACATAATTATCTAGATTCCGTTGAGTGTTCTTTAAATTGAACTCGTTTTGTGCAAAAATACAGTTTCAGATGCACCATAATCTGATATATAAAAGTCAAAAATCACATCTTATGATCACGTAGCTTCAAAATGTGGAGCTCGAATAGGAAAAACGGGTCCAAAATTGAGAATATTCAATATAATCTAATCGATTACACAAAATTTGAAACCACATAGATAAACATGTAAGAAGATTTATAGCTTAGGAGTGGCTGTAATTACCCAAACAGGAGATATTTTTTTATAATTTGACCATACCTCACGAGTGTTGTAATTTAACCATTAAAATTGCCATTAAAAGTGATTTTGTAAGTAAAAGTGATTTTGTTCCACTAATGATACGGGATAAGAATCCGCCACCACCATTATGTAACTAAGGGGATATTCCAATTTACAATTGACCCCTCATAAATGATAAATCCCACAGTTGCCCCTTTGATGATTTTTTTATACAAAAAAGTAGCAAATCAATAATAGTCTATGCGATGCTTTACGGTAAAAATGTTGGGTGATTTAAAATTGTAGATCTATATAAATAAATATTCACTAAGTACACATACACACGGATGTATATTATTATTTATAATTTTATAATTTAAAATTACCAGGTATATTTTAATTGGTATAGCATCTACAATACCATAAATAAGATACTTGTACAATGGTAAAACCAAAAATTTAAAATGAGGTCTATTCATTGGAATTCAAAGATTGATTAATGAGGTGTATTTTAATTGAGGTGTATACAATTTAATCTTTTTTTATTTTAATTTGTGTAGCATCTAATGTTTCGTAAGGATAAGGTTGTTAGTTGTTACGTACGTTGACCCATCAAAGTCCGACCTGATTACCCAGACCCGGATGGAGGGTGGTGTTGAATTGCAGCAGCATGTGCCGTATAGAGAGGATCTTTCCGATATTCCGTTGCCCCGATAATTTTTTTTTGTTCTCCTTTTTACCCCTTCCAATAAATGTTTTTAATTAGTATAACTGCGTTACACTGTGACATGTATCGAATTTATGTATTTTCTACGCATGCATTATATAGTTACCCTAAGTAGAAACCTCTAACTTTTTTTTTTAATTTCAAGAAAAATATATGGTCAAATTTTGTGTTTAGATAATTCCCCAAAATCATTTCTAAAAGTTAAAATTTTTAATTTTAAATTTGAAATTCAACATAATTAAATTTAAATATGATGAAAGTGAGATATAGGAATTTTAGTTAGAACAAAAAAGTTAAAAAAAAATGACATGCGTGTCATACTTATCATTTCTCTAGTGTGTCTTCTACTAGAAATGGCTAAAAAATTGCACCAAAAAAAAATTTATTATATAAATTTGAATAAAACCGGAAAAAAAAAAAAAGAATTTAAATAGAGAAATAAGATTTAATTTGGGGGAAAAGACTAGAAATAATAATATTAAAAATATTTAATAATAATAATAATTGCTTAACGGGCTAAAATCTCAACTGGGCTAATTAATTCAATTATTTTACGGAGGCCCAGTAGACCCAGTACTCATTTGCCTATATGACCCAACAGCTCCTATTGTTGTATCCAAAACGACACCGTTTCACTCCCCTAAATTAATTTGCCTGATCGATCTCTCCCCCAAAAATCCGATTTTTGCGACCCCTAATTCTGCCCCTCCTCTTCTTCTTCACTCCGCCGCCTCTACCTTCGCCGTCGCCGTCGCCGTCGCCGTGGTTCTTAACCGTATAAATGTCGGTAAGATTTGTATTAACTTTCAGTTCTTATTTCTATTTTTGTTGGATTTTATCTCTCTCTCTCTCTCTCTCTCGCAGGTGCTCCAATTTTCTCTTGTTATCCTTTATTTATTTATTTATTTATTTATTATTATTTATGTATGTTGTATGTCAATTTCTGAAACTCATCTTGGCTGCTTGTATAGTCTGTGTTAAGTTAGCAAGATGATTTTTTTATTTTTTTAAAAAATATTTTTGCCTCTTATTGTTACTGATGTTGATTAGGTTATGTGTTATTGAATTTGAATCTGCATGCTTTTTTCAAAAAAAATAATGCAAATTTATTTAAAATGCTTTCGTTCGATCATGTTTAATAGTTCTGGAGCTGTTTGCTGCATTGATAGCCTCTCATAGCTCTGTGGTTGAATTTCTGCAGACAATAGATGTCCCGGTAAAGACAGGTTACCAGCCCCCGTCATCGTTTGTGGAGGATAATAAAGCTCCACTTATCGATCTACACTTAACTGACTCGACCGAGCTTTGGCTTATTCAGTGGCCCATTAATCAAGTACGTCGACTGAGCTTTGCTTTACATATATGCATTTTCTTAATTGATTTTGAAATAGAACTTAAATTTTCACAATTCTGTCAAACCCCTGTTTGATTTGATTCTCTTTTTCTCGGATCAAAACACGGGAGAAGTTTCCTCTGTGTGTTTATTTTTATTAATCTTGGTTTTGTTCAGGTTCCTGATAAATTAATAAAGGGGTGTATTTTGATTTTGAGGGTTTGTTATTCTTTTGATTTTGCAATCGTTTCAACTTGATTAATATGGTTTGACCAACTATTTATTACAGCCTCCTGATTTCGACGGTGAACAGCTGTCCCTGAATCTTAGCAGTGATGGACATCTCGGCAACTTTGAGGGCTCTTCCGGTAATTTGATTTTGAACTATGATTTTTTTTTAATTGTGTTTATTCAATATTAGACACCTTTGTTCACCGTTTATTGTATTGGTTTAACGTGTCAGGAAAATTATATGACGTGGTCAGCGACAAATGTCAGGGTCCAGAAACCACCGTTTTCTTATCTTCACCGTCAGAGGCTAGAATCGGTATCGGTTTCTTGAAATTGCCCACAACTTTTTTATGCTTATTTCTTTTTCAACTTGATATCAATCTGCTATTAAAGTCAATTACGATTATTTTTGCTGTCAATCCTAGTTTCATCTTAAGCCCTTTTCAAATATACGCAGATAAAACTGAACTAGGGATTAGATTTCCGCAAAAATGACCAAAAGACAGAACCTTATTATATTTCCTTATGTTGAAGAGAGCTGTGTCTCCTTAAATTACGTAGATCTCCATTGAACTAAGTTGTGTTGCCTTAATTGATGCAAGCCACTGAAAAATTTCTATCTTGCTTCATTCTTGAGGCAATTAGCGACTCAAGAATTTGACTTGATTGTATTCATGAGACGGTTCACTATTCTTTGCAACTTCCCGTAAAGTTTTGATAATACCCACTTGGTTGTGCTCAAAACATAAAGAAGTCGCCATAGTTTCATCAAACATTTAGCATATTATTTGAGACGACTTAATCTGATATTGTTTGTCTTTTATGGTGACAGCTGGTAAGATCTCGAGACGAGTTTCTTTGATCCACTACCCAGAGCCAAGTGAACTTAAAAAACGCAATATCATAAACTTGAGTCACTCTGCTCGATCGTCTGTTGTTACCTCGTCCTTGTCAGGTCGTCATTTGCCAACTCCAACTCGTAGTGTTAAGCCTGGGGCCACACCAAGCAGCAGAAACAAGACTCCGTTGCCTGAATCTGCTAAGCCTCTGAAGAGAAAACGAGCCCACGAGCCGATTAAACCAACAGATAATTCTGCTCAAAATTCAGGAAGAGGAAATAGCGGGGTTACCACTGCCGAATCCGCCGATGAAAAAAAATCAAAGAAAAAGAAAATCGCAAGTTAAAAACTTTGCGGGTATTTTGTTTTAAACATTTCTTCTTAATTACCCTGATTTTGTGGAAGGTGGATTCGATCTTGTACCTCGTAAGTTGAGCTTAAGTTGTTTGTTGAATGTGAGGATTACTGAAAGTTTGTGTTATATATAAACTGTTGCAGGTTAGTTTGTCTTTATGTTGAAACTGATAATTACAGGTATATACAATAGATGATATGAAAACCCTACTAAAAAAAACGACGCCGTAATTTTTTTCTTTTTTGTATTTTTAATGGAGGAAATTACAATTTTGTCCCTCAAGTTGCATTAAATTTATATTTGACCCCAGGTTCACAAAAAACACATTTGGTCCCTGATATTTTCAAAATTTAACACTTTTAGTTATTTCCGTCAATTTTCTATTAGTACTAAAGGAATCATGTGTATGCCCCCCATTGCTTAACTACGAATTAACGTTAAATTGGCAAAAATGACCAAAAATGTTAATTATTCAAACACGAGTGACTAAATGTGAAATCAATCCAAACTTGTGGGGTGAACACTGTAATTTTCCCAATTTTAATATGTACAAAAAAAAATTAAAAATTAAAAAAAAACAATAATAATTTTACCCCTTTTCCGAGGCGACAACGGCTCGCCGGAGTATCGCACTGCAAATCGTCTCCTCCTTGTACATGCAGTCACCGAGGCCAATTCTCAGTATGAAAAGACCAAAAACGCCCTCAGCTCCTCCTCCATCAACCCCTCCGACGCCGCAGCACCGCCAATCCTTCACCAAACTCATCAATCCCATTTCCAGCAAACGCCGTAACATTTTACAAAATCCACAACCACTCCCCTCCGCCGCCGCCGCCATCGAATGGAAACCCCTCAAAATCAATAAGTCCGAGCTCTACTTGCCGCTCACTTTCCCCACCGGCCAAACCTTCCGGTGGAGGAATACCGGCCCGTTGCAGTACACCGGCCCCATCGGCCCCCATCTCGTATCCCTCAAACAACTCGAGGGCGACGACGTGGGGTATTTTTGTCATTTCACGGACTCTGATGAAACGGCAAGAATTAATCTTTTTGATTTTCTGAACATGGGTATTTCTCTAAACGAGATTTGGAGTGTGTTCAAGGCTTCTGATGAGAGGTTTGCTGAGCTGGCAATGTATCTGGAGGGGGCTAGGGTTTTGAGGCAGGATCCATTGGAGTGCTTGATTCAATTCATTTGCTCATCAAATAATAATATTCAGAGGATTACCAAAATGGTGGATTTTATTTCCTCAAAGGGCAAGTTTTTGGGGAATGTGGGAGGGTTTGATTTTTTCGAGTTCCCGACTCTTGATAAATTGGCTTCGGTTTCGGAAGCCGAACTTAGAGAAGCCGGTTTCGGATACAGGTTGATTTTTCTTTCTTGCTTTTTGTCTATGATTTTGTTGTTGTCTGAAGTTTATCAGTTTATGCATGTAACGATCACAGCTGTATGTGTATCTGAATCGGTGTTCGAAAACGCATTTAATTCGATATTCGCGTTAGCTTTTCGATAAACAAAGATTGAGTTTCTGCTTCATAATCATACTAGTACATATATTGTATTGATAATTGAATTTTCTTGAACGCTTTTTTATTTTGTATCGACAAAAAAAAAAAAAAAAAAATAAATAACAAAACAGGGCCAAATATATTGTCGGCACTGTGGCAGCTCTGCAATCGAAACCTGGAGGAGGAATGGAGTGGCTTGCTTCTCTTCGTAAATCGGATCTTCAAGGAGCAATCACCGGTCTTTCCACTTTGCCAGGTGTCGGTCCGAAAGTGGCTGCGTGTGTTGCTCTTTTCTCGTTAGACCAGCACCACGCCATTCCCGTCGATACTCACGTCTGGCAGGTCGGCCGTTAACGAGTGTTTTTTTTTTTTTGCTTCATATATTTTCTAAATTATTAATTGTTTAACAGAAAATTATTTTCAATGTGAAAAGATTGCGACGAGGTATCTAATTCCTGAACTGGCGGGGACCACCTTGACACCTCGAGTATGCAGTCGCGTGGCGGATGCGTTTGTGAGCAAATACGGGAAATACGCCGGGTGGGCCCAGACTCTGCTTTTCATTTCCGAATTGCCTTCTCAAAAATCCATCTTGCCTTCGAGTTTATGGAATACTGTCGAGAAAAGCGAAATTAAGCTTCAAATTGAAGTCCACGAAATTCAAGAAACGAAGGAAAATCGACGCAGTAAAAAGAAAAAAAATGACAGTTAATTATATGAGAGGAAAGTTTACATTTTTTTTGTTGTTAGAGTCGTTGCATAGTACTTGTAATTGTTTGTATTGATCACTTGCAGGAGGGGGGTTTAAGGAACGGTGATATTCACGGGAGCTGTCGTTTTATTTGAATTAAATTGTTGCGATTCGATGGACTATACATATATCGTAAGTTCTACCGTCATTTTTCGATTTTATGATATTCCATTTGTTGTTGTTTAGCGTTTGTGTTTATTTACCACTGTCCGTTAAATCGTGCACGACTGGTACTAGAGCGAGAGGAATACTAATGTTAACCAACCGAAGCTCAAAATTAGTCGAATTAAACCGAACAATATATTAGGTATTCTGTCGATTCTTTTGGCTATTACAAATTCGTCTCGTCTCAGACGTAACCATTATCATTGACATTGTGCCTCAATTAACAGATTTTTTCGAATTCCCGGACAAGGATCGCCTCCGAATCTTTTGTTTGACCAAGGAACAGAACACTTCTTCTTCCCTAGACAAGCCTGTAATAATGTATTAAAACCCTTGCAATATAAAAAATAAAAAATAAAAAATAAAAACATTTTTTTTTATTTTACCTTTTCGACTATGGCTGTCGAATTTGTCGAGTGACATTTTCCGAGAGAGTAACTTTCGCAATCGCCGAACGGGCTTCCGAAACTTGCGAATAGAATTTTGGAAATGTATTTTTTAGGTGGACAATGAAGATGAATTTTAGGTCTTCTCTCATGGTGGATTTCGGATTTATTTCGGCTTAGGGTTTCTCTTTTCCACGAAATTAACGGAGGCGGATTAGAATCCGTTATATGTCCGCATACTTTCGTAATCGAAACGGTATCTACCGATATTCCAGTAGGGTTTCCACCTTCTTCTTCAAACAGCACTAACAGGTTATCTTTCGGTTTTAGGAAGGATCTTGGTACATGATACCTAAAATTTACGAGTATAAAAAATCAAGAAAAAAAGATTATTTTTTTTATAATAAATTTATGGATGTAGTGATGATCATACCATATTTGTGAAGGAGAGCCATCAGGGTTAAGAAATGATATCCAATATCGACCGATACTTTGACCGTTGACCCAAGCTTCGCCTTTGCCCATCGAGCCAAGATTCAGTGCAAGGGGGTCACTGCCCCCCGGTGCATCGAATTTTGACTTATGGAAAGCAGTAGATTAGTATTTTATAGGAAAATCGATTGCCATACGATTTATTTAGATGCTTACCTTGTACCATGTAAGTGGCTGAGAAGAAGAAGAGTTAATATCACACCATACTGCTTTGTTTGTTCCTTCTTCTGTGTAGAGCTGTAATTTCTCTCCTAATAATCCAACCTTTTGCAATAAAACGGCAAACGAAACCGAATTTAGTTATCGTCGCACTTAGTTAAAGTAATTGTCTCAAGAATGTAACTAATTACCTGGTACCCCCATGAAGAAATGGTCAAGTTTTTGAAGACTTTATTTTCTTGAATGCTCACACTTTGCAATCCGGAAGCTCTACGCTCCATATGTGCACCCGAGTCCTTAAATTTCGATTTATGATATTAAATATTGACAAAATTATAAGCTAAAAAAAATAAAAATAATAGAAAAAAATCGTAAGACGGCTTAATATACCGGTAATCCAACCATAACACTCAATAAGGAAATGTCGTTCACTCCGCTAGTTAAAGGAATCGTGGTCTTTACAGTGAAGCCTTGGTTTCTAAAAAACCCGTGTCCCGAACCTATATAAAAACGGAATCTTGAAATTTAGGTTTTTAAAGATCCTTATTCAATAATCAATAAATGAATTGTATTTTTCTTAGCCTCGATGAGCATCTTACCGATCTGTACTCCATTTACAAATGCCCGTAATAAATGCCCTCGAGAATTTACGGTGATCTCGGATTTCGACTCCTCGGTTTGGTTATAACTACAGTATGCATGTTGGTGTTAGTAGCTAAATAAAGTAATTATGGAATTCAATTTTTTGTTTATATATAAATATTATTGATTTACCTGGCAATGTACCATAAGTAATCAGACGAATCTTTCGTTGTGTTCATCTGCTCGAGCAATAAATTTGACCTAATCGAGGTATTATCGAATACCGGGATAATTTCGTTCCATTTTTCCCATATATCTGCTTTGTCCAACTTCACAGCTGGTTGTCTTGTTCTCGTGCCGAACTGTGTGCTCACCTGTTCGAAACGATTAAAAAAAAACAATTATTTAATTTGTTTCGGTTTTAAATATATTGCATTATTAAATATTCTAATTTTCCATGCCTTCGCTGTGTTGAACGCCACGGTTTTGCAATCGGGCAATATACTAATCGATTTAGGTGGAAGTTGATATGTTCGATTACGGAACTGGATGTTTGCACCGTGTTCGCCATCTCTGTTCAACAGAAACGCTGCGCATTCTCCGTTTTCTCTCGTGTATACGTAAGCCTGGTTTTATGAAAAAAAAACTGTCAAATATAATAAAAATACAAAATAAATAAATAAATAAAATTTTGAATTTTCGGATATGAAATCGAATGTTAAAAATTCTTACTTCTTGTAGAACACCTAACGAGAAATTCGATTGTACTCCGTTAAGTAGGGTTTCGGAGCATAGCTTAACTGCTGCATGCAGTTCTTGGAGATGACCCCATTTTGGCTGCCTAATTAAACCTGTAAGTTATTTTTTATTTATTTATTTATTTATTATTTATTATTTATTTTTATTCAATTATTAGAATGAATTGGTAAATAGAGATTTTGATGTATATTATATATTATATACCGTATTCGTCGAGAGGGGCTTGATCGTAATAACTGGTTATTATGAATGCAGAGGCATTTCTTCCGAAATTGGTTCCTCCGTGATACTGAATTATTAAAGAGGTAATATTCGTATTTCCGATTAAAAATAATAGAAAAAGAGCGATTATAATAGAGAAAGTCGATATGCGAATAAATGCGTTTACCATATAGTAGTTTATGAAGCTGCCATTCATTTTGACAATGAATAGAGCAACTTGATATGCAATATCCTCCGGCGATCTGATTTTCGTGATATTTCCGTAAATGTCGTAGCTTCACGTGAATTCGATTATAAGTTACAAAACGAATCTCGTTTCGTAATTTTTTTAATGTAAGGAAAAAAAAATCGATAAATCTTAGTTCTTACAAGTGTGTCCAATTTTCCGTCCAAATTGCTGGCTTGTTCGGTGAATTTGGTCCGACAAATGTTTCTGCGCACCTCATTCCGTTACATGCATTTATCTGCATAACATTTTCCGATCACTAATGGAAATTTGAGGAAACTAAAGGGTAGTTTTGGTATTTTACCACGGGGTCAGGAGCGTCGTCTTGTTTGCACATAACCCATGGCACACCGGTTTCAAGCCCTGCAGCCATTGATGCGGCCCACCGTACATACGGTGGCCCCGTTTCGTGGAAGGCTTTTTCTACGTTTTGATACTCGTTTTCGATCTGCGTTTTTTGAGTTTTAATCATCCGAAATTGTTTTACATTGCGTAAAAAAGGAAACTAAATAAAGATAAAAAGTAAAAAGATCGAATATTCATCGACCTGAGAGAGAATAATCGGACCCCCTTGCGAGGCGAATAGTTTCTCCGACTTCATCATATTCACTATTTTCGTCGTGAAATTCTGCATATAGTACTGAAAAAAAAAACACAATATTAATTATTTCTTTTTATAATTATTATTATTATTATGAGATTTCGAATGTATAATAATAACGTTGATACCTTAAATGGTTCGTTGTCGGATCGAAATACGATGCCCGGAACATCGTGGAGCCAAAACGGAAGGCCTCTGCATCAACATATTTAGTAAATAATCATGTAGCAATATATTTTTCTTTTCCAATTCTCAGTTTTAGTAGTTATAATATAAATACTTAATTATAATTATTTGAAAATAAAAAATAAAAAATAATTACCCATAAGACCATTCAGCTTCAATAAATGGTCCAATTCGAAGACAAACATATAAACCTTGAGCTTGTACTTCTTTGATAAATCTCACTATATCTCGTCTTCCACTAAAATCATACTGACATTTTTTATACATACATATTTGTGTAAGTCTATTTAAAATATTTAATTTGAGTTAGTGTGTGAATTTGAATGTGTGTTTGTGTGTGAAATAAAATAAAATAAATAAATAAATATATTACTTGTCCCGGTTCGGGTTCGTGAAGGTTCCAAAATACATAGGTGTCGATTGCGTCTAATCCACCTTGTTTCGATTTCGATATTAAAGAATGCCACATCTGCGAAAGTTAATCAATCTAATGAAAACTCAATTATTTTTACAATATATATATATATATATCCTTAAAAACCAAGATAATTCATGATAATGTAATATTTTCGGGTCTGGCCCGGGAAGTTATTGGGTTTACGAAACAGCAAACGAGGTCCAATTATTCAGTTAATCTTAGCTAATCTTTGCAACCAAACGAGGGCTAATCTGATAAATCGAAACTTCATTGCATGTGATGTGTACATTTTTAAGAAGGTGACAATTAATAAGGGGATCACAAATTTTACAGAATATATCACCTTTACCAGCAGCAATAAATTCAAATTAATTATTTGTAGGCCAAAGTATTAAAGTCGTGCTTTTACATGCAATGAAATAAAAGTTCTTTTTTTTTTGGGGGGGACACGCTTTTTATTAAGTTGGAAAAAAGCAATTATAGAAATCATTAATTAAATATGGTATCTAATTGTGCTAATCTTTTCTTTAATTAAGGATAATGACATATGTGAAATCCGGCTTTTGAGATCCTACACCGGGTGAAATACACCGGGTAGATCTTTACCATTAATATACACACAATCACACACACACCCACATTGGTGTGTGTAGATCAACGGTGAAAAATCACCCGGTGTAACCTTCACCGGGTGTAGGATAGATAAAACCGTGAAATCCTTGGAAATATTTCATCAAACCAATGAATCAAGAAACAAAAAAAAACACACACACATACACACACAGAAGAAAGTGTGTGAGAGATATAGATACAGAATACTTACATCAGGAGTGCTTCTTGGATAATGAATCGAACCAGAGAAAAGAAGCTTCCGTTGGCCGTTAATTATAAGCGACCTTCCATCATAGGTAACATCGCCGCCACTTACACCACCTACCGCCGCCGCCACTAATCCAAACCACCACAACCACCGCCACCCCACCACCATATCTTCACGCCGGACAAAAAAAAAAAAAAAAAAAACCCACGACTGTATATTATATATATAGCTAGCTTAATTAACTTCCAGAAGACAATCAAATTTCACTCTTTCTTCTCTCACTTATATATATACATGCATATATGGTATATATAAATATATACATGTGTATATATATAAGATTTCAAGAATTGCGATTATGCATGAAATTGTAAGTGTCAAATGTGTAAATGAATTCAGCGATTTCAAACGTACAAGTAAACAAAAGTAGTTTTTAAATTGAATCAGAAGGTAAGTTATTACAGATTATATGTAAATACGTATATATATTATATATATAATTATAATTATTATATACATATGCATGAAATCTTGCCTGAAAACGTGCCATGACAAAAGCAATTACGATTTAATTTGTTTTTATCCTTTTAAAGATTAACTGAATAGATATTATTTTTTTGAATAAGTACGTAATTAATATCATAAATGCGCAATCAAAAATCAGTGAGAAAAACCAATCTATATATATATGTGTGTGTGTGTATATATATAGCTTATGTAATAGTATAAATTAAAATGTAGAAAAGAAGGCACAGAGGTTGGAAATTTTGTTTAAACATGACGAAATAAAGTGAATAAAAACAAAAAATATTTATTGGGAAAATTAATTCATTATGGCCATTTATATTTATTTTGTGATGCCATCAAATGATGGGAGTGTGAAAAATGAACAAGTTTTGCCAGCTATAAGATGCTGCGTTTGTAACAAGGCAACATTTTCTGCATGCTTTACTTACCAGGGTTTTTATACTAAAAATTAGGGTAAATTACAACCACTCCTGAGGTATGGTCAAATTACGAAAAAATCCCTCATGTTTGGATAATTACATATACCCCTTAACTATGAATCTTCTTACATCTCTATTTAATGGTGTCAAATTCAACATAATCATCTAGATTCCGTGGAATGTGATCTAATAATTTGTACTCGTTTTATGTAAAAATATAATTTCTGTTGCAATGCAACACGATCTCATATATACATAAGCCAAAAAACACATCTTATGATAATCTTGCTTCAAAATGTGGAGCTCGAATGGAATAAAAAGGGGTACAAAAGTGATAATATTCGATATAATCTGGAAGATTCCACTGAATTTGAAACCGCAAGGGTGGACGTGTAAAAAGATTTATAGTTGAGGGTGGTTGTAGTTACTCAAACATGAGGGGGTTTTTCGTAATTTGACCATACCTCAGGAGGTGGTTGTAATTTACCCTAAAAATTATTATTATTATTATTATTATTATTATTATTATTATTATTATTATTATTATTATTATTATTATTATTATTATTATTATTATTATTATTATTATTATCTTCTAAGTTTTATATTGTTGAAATACGATCCTACACCCGGTGAAAAACACCGGGTGTAGGGTCGAACAAATCAAATACGAGAGTAACAATTTAAAATTTGTCAGTTTAATTTAATGTGGCCCAATGAAAAAGTTCATAGAATTGAAGCCCAATATATTACGGCCCAGCCCGTTTGAAAGCCCGATATTCATTTCTTCTAATGTTTCCCCTCCCTCAAGCTTTTGATGAACCCTCTCTCTCTCGCTCTCTTTAGCTCTCTCTCTGTAAACCTGCTTGTTGTTTTTGATTGTTTTCTGCATCTAAAATCTCTCTCCACATCTAAAAATCTCTCTCCACTTCTACAATGTCGGTAAGTTTCGTACCGGATTCGCAGTTCCCATTTCTGCAATTGTGAAACCCTTATTTTCCCCCTTTTTTGTGATTTTTTGTTTTTAGTTTGGAATTGATTAATCGCGAGGAAATTGCAGATCTTCGAATACAATGGAAGCGCAATCGTGGCTATGGTGGGCAAAAATTGCTTCGCGATCGCTAGCGACCGGCGACTTGGTGTTCAGCTGCAAACCATCGCCACTGACTTCCAGAAGATTTACAGAATCCACGATAAGCTCTTCATCGGTCTCGCCGGCTTAGCTACTGATGCGCAAACCTTGTAAGTTTTTTTTTTTTTTTTGGTAGAAATCAATTTATTTAATTTTGGTTTTTAGGGGTTTGAAATTTTAAGAACGATGTGCAAATTCTGAAGCTCGAAGTACGATTTATGCTTGTGTCTTTAATTTTTAATTTTTAATTTTGGTCTTGGTGTGAATAAGTTCTATTCGAAGGGGATTGATTAATGTTTAAAAAGCTGCATAATCATAATATTATGATGATAGATTTTTCTATTTTATATGTCTACTTAGTTTGTATGATTGCTCCAAAATATGCTGGCGTTCGAGAGTTATGCTTTGAAAGAGGTTAGATGCTCGGTAATAAAGCGAAACAAGGAGCCCTAATTGACAAAGAAATTTTGATTTTGTTTGAGGAATACTCACTTTTTTTTTATATAGATAATAATCGATATTGTGAAAGATTTTCTCTCTGGTGATGTGTGTATATTTGGTTTCGGTCAATTTCGCATAGCTTTTATACTGACCCGTTGATTTGTGTTTTGGTTGAATCCACTTGAAGGCACCAACGGCTTGTTTTCCGACACAAATTATATAAGCTGAGGGAAGAGAGGGATATGAAGCCTGAAACTTTTGCTAGCCTTGTATCTGCAATTCAGTATGAAAAAAGGTTGGTTTCTCTTTTACAGTCCCTATCTTTTTGTAATCATTCAACTATGGCTGGAGCTTTTTTTTTTTAATAGTTATTAGCTTGTTCCGTCGATGCTTTAGTTTTGTATAAATTTGTTTAGTTTACTTCTTGTTGTTAGAGTGCATAAATATGCTATTCTTCAAATGTAAATTATGAGCTTCAGTTCGTTAGAATGATATGATTTCTTCTTATTGTGGTTTAGGTTTGGACCATACTTTTGCCAACCTGTTATTGCTGGCTTGGGCGACGATGACAAACCTTTCATTTGCACTATGGATTCCATTGGGGCAAAGTACGTGAAACCTATATTGTTTATGTTTAATTGTTTACTTTTTTCCATTTATGAGACTTCTCTCAAGCTGCCAGAGGGAAAAAAAGGATTGTTGTTTGATTGGTCGTCCCTTTATACTGACAGTAATACAGAAATCACCAAATGAATTTCAAAATGAACGTGAAAGTTCAATTGGGTTTTTCTTACATAAGAATGTATTTTAGTATTAATATTATGAATGCATTAATACTCTAAAAGTAGCTCAATTGGGTTGTAGCACAATACTTTAAAAGCCTTGGGATATTGAAGCTTTAATACTTTCTTTTGTAGACGTATTTCTGGAAGTTATTTCATGGTTTCCTTTTTGCTGTATGATTGATTGCAGGGAACTAGCCAAAGATTTTGTTGTTGCTGGAACTGCCTCGGAATCACTCTATGGTGCATGTGAATCAATGTACAGACCTGACATGGTTAGTAATTTTACTTAATATTTCTGTATCCGGTTAAGTGAGACTTAAACTTCCATGGAATAGACTGTATTCTTCTTTCTTATATTATTCGTAAGTAGATTCCTGTACCATCTGCCCATTGTGTACTTGTGCTCACTGCAATCTTTAGAGAAATTTAGCTTTAGTTGCTGACAAAGTTAAAAGTATAAACGAATAAACTGGTTCAAAACAAGTTGCTTGCTCCCAGTAAAAACATTACATGAACGAAAAGGATCTGTTTTTCCTTCAATTCCCGTTTTTCCTATGAACCAGCTTGATACCCAAATCTTGTGAATGGCCATTGATTGTTTTTGCTTCTGAAGAACCAAACACTTTCTTGATTGTCGGTACCAAAAAAACAAAAGCAACTGATTTAGTAGCATGGGCTGCATTCGCATTTTTCACTTTGCTAACGAAACATATAATGAGATTTCATTTGTAAAGTCTTATCTAATGACTGTTATCTATCTTCGTTTCCTATGTGATGAAACATATCTATTTACATAGTTTCTCACTTTTCTCTCTCAATCTCTCTCTCTCACACACACACACACACACACACAAAGTTCTGTTAGTTTGGTTAGAAAATGAAATGACATTAGTTCTTTTGTATCAAATATCCAGGAAGCTGAGGAATTGTTCGAGACAATATCACAAGCTCTGATATCTTCTATAGACCGTGATTGTCTGAGTGGTTGGGGAGGCCATGTTTATCTTGTGTAAGTTATTTTCCGCCTCGTTTCTCTTTACAAAAAAAATCCTTTTCTTTTCTTTAATAAGATCTCATTCCCTGAAGAAACTGCTAAAAATCGTTGCCCCAGTTTTGCTCGGTTATTTCAATTGAACTTTGAATTGTTTGCGTGAAAATTGTTGCAGCACACCAACTGAAGTTACAGAGAGAGTCCTCAAGGGAAGGATGGATTAAGTTTCTTCGACGATTTTCTGTATTCCTATCATCAGTCCGTGCACACACTAACTTCCTTGGGCGCTCGATTTATCATCTTTAAGTTGCTGCAATGCGATTTATATTTTGTGACAGATTGCTCTTAAAATATTATCTTGTGTGGTGACATTCCTATGTTTATTTAGATTTCAAGAATCAAATGTTGCATTTATACATCTAAATAGCCTCTCTCTCTAAATTCCACCTTTTAATTTCATTTGCTGATATACTATTTAGTGCATTGATTTATGGATATTGATTTGATGATACACTATTTACATGTTGTGGTCATATTTATCTGAAATCAATGCAAAACAGCGTCGTAGTAATATAAAATAGTGGTAATATTGTAAATTAAAGTATTCATTACGAACTAGAAGAGAGTTTGAACTAAATTGATGTCTTGGTTTTTCATTATATAGTTACAATTTCATAAAATTAAATTATGGCCCATATGTATTATTATTTGGGCCCAATAAGTAACTAATCTTTATATTTAAAAGAAAGGTTTTGCCCCGCATCTTATATATAACCGGAGTAACGTCGGTTACTTTTTTGGAGAAACCTAAATTTTTTTGGGAATAAAATATTTTCAACCGTTTATATTCCTTCCCCAGACATTTCTCTTCCGTAACCGTCTTCAACCTCATCTGTAAAATCTAATCCACGTGTACTTCAACTTTTTTTTTTTTAAACGATCGGCATATGTGAACGTCATCATCACTCATATTTTTTTGAGGAAATCTCTTCTATCTTCAGCGGCTATTCTACCAATTTCTTAGTGTAAGCAGTCTTTGTAGTTGCCTCCGATTTTTTTGTTTTTTTTTTCATGTGATCATTGTGCCCTTTTTGTTTCAGAAAGGGCTCTGATTCCAAAGTTATTGATTTTCTTCTTCATGGGATTCTATCATCTTTGTTAATGCCATTCTGTCATTTTTGTTCACGAATTATTTTTTCAAAAAGGGGCTTTTTTTCCACTTTGCTCTTATCCTGAAAAAAAAATTGAAATGGATTGTAGAAACAAATGCAATTTTTTTCTTCCTAAAGTTACATAAAGGATGACGCCGCTAATAAATTAGAAAATGGTGCTTCGCCGATAGATAATCTGCTGGGACTGCTAGGAATTCAAGTCGAAAAAAGTATCAATCTTGATGTTCGATAAATTGTAATTATTCAGCTTCTATTAGTTGAGAAATTGCAATGTAGTCATCGATGAGTTCTGATACGTTGAGGCTATTATCTATTGTAGTCGGTAATGTTTTCTTATTCTACTTTTTAAATTATTATTTTATTTATTCTTCTGATTTAGTCTTCTCAAGTCTTTAATTTCTTGGTTATATTTTATTAAAGGGTTTTGTATGTCTGATGCATTACTAAGTTTTAGACAGAAAAATGGCTATGGTTTCATTTTAGATTGAAAAATCATATTTAACATAATGTGCTTGTTATCTTAATATATAATACATGTGAGATTGATTTGTTGATGAACTATTTTAACTGGATTTTGTACGTTGACATATAAATGACATGAGTGTCGATTTTGGATGAACCGTGTAACAGCGAGTCTGTGAGACCTTTTCACTCATTTATTTTAGATTTTTTTAATGATTAAAATAAATATTTTGCAAACTATTTTAATTATATATGTTAGACATTTATATAAATTAGTGTCATGTTTAATTTTTCATTTTTGATAACAATGTAAGATGTTAATTTTTCCAGTTAATACAATGAATCAGTACGATTTTTCCTTAATGAACTCTACATTTTAACGCTCTAAATTGGCTTATTATTCTATAAACTATTTGTTTATTGTTAATTCCAAGTTAAAACTATTTTCGAAGATGGTATTGTTTTCATCATTTTTACATAAATGTATATAACTTCGAGTTCTTTCCCGTGTCATAATGTTCTGCTTCACCTACAACCTTTGTTTGCCGTTCCATATTCATATGTTTTCATATTTTATGACGATTAAAATTTGAAAGAAATGAATGGACGTGCATGACAGTATTATTTGTTTTATTGGTATTGAATATGACTTTTATTAATTGAACTTTATTTATATTATATTTTTTATTATTATTTATTTATCGGTATTTTTTGTTTTTAATATTCAACCGTGCAATGCACGGGGCAAAGTACTAGTCCCAATAAAAGAAAGATCCAACGTTTGAAATGGCGGTTCTTTAAATTTGAAAGCACAAATCTTACAAATAGAGTTGCCGATCTTCTGTTTCATGTAACAATCACGAAACCCCTCTTCTAATTTCACGATGTTAGGATTTCTTCTGAATTCAATTTCCAATTGGTGTTTTTGTTTTTGGCAGGAGAAATTGATCGACGGAGAAAATCAACAACTCCAAAGTTTAATTCAGTTTTTCATTAATGGGGAACGCAACCGGTTCATTTTTCGCTGGATTAGGTCAAGTTCTCGGCAACATTCTCGGTCACCCCCTCGATTTCCTCTCCGGAAAATCCTGCGAGTAATTTCTTCTTACATATGTGTGTGTGTGTGTGTGTGTGTGTGTGTGTGTGTGTGTGTGTGTGTGTGTGTGTGTGTGTGTGTGTGCACATATAATTAGTAATTTCAATTTTGTGTCGCATGCAGCTCCGTCTGTGCTTCGACTTGGGATTTCATCTGTTTCGTCGAAAACTTCTGCGTTTCGCATTTGCTCAAGTTCGCCTTTGTGGCGACATTGCTCTACTTTGGTAATAATAATAACCTATTCGAATTTCCCGAAAAAAATAAATACATAATCATTTTTTTTTCTTTTTGACGACAAAAAATAAAAATGCAGTGCTCTTATTCGTCTACCTAATATTCCAACTGGGAATCTGCCAATGCATTTTTCGATCCCTCTGTCGAATCACATGGGCTTGTTTCGCCACTTGTTTCTCCGCATTCGAATTCTCTTGCACCTACTTATGCTTCAAGCTTCGATCGGTCAAGAGAAAACGAAGAACGAGGAAAAGGGACATTGAAGAATTCAGTACAAGCGAAGACGAGTACGAGTTAGGCGAAACTTCTAGATTAAGACAACCTAGTACGAATCTTGAACGTAGGAGGAGATCACGGTTTGATAAACGGAAAAACTTCAAAAACGAGCGTCTAAGGAGGTCGTTGAAACCTACTACACATCAAGCAAGTGTGGGGCCCGCTAGGAATTCCGTTTATTTAAATAGAAGAAAGATTTTGAACCATATTGGTGATTCTACAAGCCCGCTTCATCATCATATTCGGGTGAGTAGGAGTAGGAGTTCGAAGTTCTTGAATAAAGGATCGAGGCGCAGAAAAAGCGGGGTTCGTCGTAGGAAGAAACAAGTTTAATTATAATTTTATTGTAATCAAAATTACAGTTTTTGATTGTATTGAGTAAAGAAATACTAATTATATAGTAGTTTTAAATTTGATTGCATTTGTGACAAATTTTTGAATTAGTAGATTTGCTATGCTACTAAATTTATTAATTTTTTTTCTCTTTCACAATGCATATCTTTCTTTATGAGTTTATTTAAATTAATTATAATGTAATTAGAGTGCATAATTTTTATTATTCGTCTAAATGTAATTAGAGTTTATTCGATTGAACATCGAATTGTTTGCGTGAAAATTGTTGCAGCACACCAACTCAAGTTACGGTGAGAGAGTCCTCGAGGGAAGGATGGATTGAATTTCTTCGACGATTTTCTGTATTCCTATCTTCGGTCTGTGCACACACGCTAACTTTGTTCCGTCAGCGCTCGATTTATATCGTCTTTAAGTTGCTGCAATGCGATGTTTATTTCGATTTCAATGATCAAATGTTGTATTTATTAACTAACTAGTGTCTCTCTAAATTGCATTTTTTAATTTAAAGTGCGTAGTAAATGTGTTAATTAAAATGTAGAAATACTGAAAATTGGAACGGTTGAAAGTAGTTATGATTTTTTTTTTCAAAAAAATTACATATTCGTTTTCTTTAAGCATCTTGGCCCAATAAGGTTCTAAGCCCAATAGAAGAAGAATCGGTTTATTGTAATTAACTAAACATAAAGGGTTTTTTCATAATTTAATCTTACATTAGAGGATTCTGATGTTACTACTTTGCCATTTATAGATGTAGACAATTATTATCACACGTGAGAATTAGAAAAAAAAAATCATAATAATAAAATTTTCCATGTAAGAGTGTCTAATGTTTATCTAGAAGTACAACTTTTATATGATTATATATATCTATATGTTTCATGTATTAAATCCCAAAAATAAATTTCACGTGATCAAGTGTGAACACAGCGTAGAATGGCGGCTGCAAAACTCCAAACGTGAAATACAAGTAAATCTTAATGACAAAAATATTGTAATTAATGTATTTATTACTAATTACTTTTGATTGTTTAATTGAGCACATACATTTGAGCTCGAGTAATTTGCTAATTGTACCAAGTTTAGTAGGTATATGCAGTTTATTTCTATGCTACATTTGGTGAAAGGTTACGCTAGATGAAATCCTACTGTTAATCTACACACACCAATGTTGGCGTGTGTATGTGTCCTGATTTGAATGTTAAAGATCTACTTGGTGTATTTTATTCACTGTAGCATAGTATAAATCGTAACAACTTCAACTCGTTATCCAAACGTTTTAAAAATTAATTCTAAAAATAAAACGCAACAACTTATTAGCTTTTCAAACAGCTTATCAGACATAATAACTTATCAATTGGTTAAAATAAGCTTAGTCCAACGAAGAGGAAGTCATGCTTACGTACCCACATTCGAACCTTTTATAATTGCTAATTATGCCTAAGTTAATTAGTGGGTTGATGATAGTGATGTTTAGGAGTATACTTGTCAACACCTAATCAATTATTATTTTTTTAAAATCAGTTAAAGGTTGAATTATTACACTCTTTATTTGGATAATCTAATTTACTCACTTTGAGTTTGAAATTAGTTGCGGCTGCGTTTGGAAACAACAAGCATGTGAGTTGGTATTGGTGTGTATTAGTATTAATTAATGGTTAAGCATGTGAGTATTAGGGATTAATTAATTAATTAATTATGTGATTACGCAGCCCGGATACATGACGTAGTGTTAACAATATTAAATTATTATATAATTTCAATTTTGTCCTTATTAACTCTTATATACTATTCCCAATATTAGTAAATAGTACAAGGGTATTTTAGTCTAATAATATTTATTTTTCAAAAATTAAGACACGTTTATTGAAATACATGTATTTTAGCCTAATGATAAACATGTATTTTTTTCTAATAATATTTATTTTTAGTCTAAGTGAAAAATTTATATTCTTTTTTAAATAAAAATACATGTTTATCATCATTGTAAATGGGCTATAAAATCGTGCACATACTAACAAATCAGTGGATGGATTATGCCGATATCTACTAACTTAATTATTTAAAAATGCAAATTCAATTGATTATTGCAACATGTATTAATTTTTTATTTCAAAATATAATATCAATTGATTTATCTCAAACTCTAGAGAAAACTTTTTAATTAGTTATACTTATGTGTATTAAATATTTTTTATTTTTAATCACAAAAAGATGAAAACAAAAACGTGGAGAGTGGGAGTGGAAAGTTTAATGCCTTAATGGGAGTGGAGCCGAGCCGCCCACATTTTGAGGATTTTCTGGTGATTAATTTTGTCATTTTCTGCATTATTTTTATAAAATAAAAATAATAATAATAATAAATATATAATAAATAAAAATTGAAGTTCACTTCATTTGGACAAAAATATTTTTATGCCTGAAGAAAGTCACGAAAGGCATGCGAATCATGTCCATTCACTTTCTTGTGATTGTTCATCTCAAAATCATTTTTGTCTTTTTCATTTTTATTTTTTATATTATATGTCGGTAAATTACTGTTACATTAATTTTGCAACTTCCATTATTTTTATTTCAAACTTGTATCATTCATCTTGAGTTTATTAAATAAAAATGTGAAGGTAGGTCACTGCACGCGAGTAGGCGATCTGAGTCGAGTCGTCATTGCGTGTAGGAGAGCTGAATGCACCCGAGTCTTGAACCTCCAAGGATAAGCAAACATAAATTAGATCATAATTGACCAGACGAAAATCTTTCCGATGCTCGAGTCAATAGTTGCCTAAGCCAGGGCCGGTACTTGCAAAGGGCTAGGGGGGGCAGTTGACCCCCCAAGAAAAAAAAAATCTTTAGATATTTGGTATTGTATTTTTTGAATATTATCTTTAGGCCCCCAAAGTTTTTGTAAATATGTGTTTTAATCCATTTTTTTTTTCTTCTCCATAATCTTATATAAATTATAGATAAATTATATCATATTTAATATAAAATATAAAATAAGATGCTTAAAACTTGTATTATATTAAATAAAATTTATGAATATTACTTATTTTTGAATTTTTTTTATCAATGCCTTCAGATTGTGCCATGGATCCCTGAAATATTAAGTGTAATACATTATTAGAATAATTTGAATTAATTTAGAATTTTCTGTGATGATTAAAATATGATATAATTATAATACATATGATATTTTAATTAAACATTAGTAATATAAATTTATTTTTTGCAATGTTTTGTGAACCTAATTTTTTTTTTCTGACGTTGCCTCGAACTCTAAGCATTCTACTCTAAGCACAATTAGTAAATCCTAATGAACTTATAACCTCTTATTAATTGAATTTGCCCATTAATTAATAATCTTTTAGGTGGATGACAGACGTGACCTTTTAAATGGCACTTATACTAATTAGTTTACTGGCCGATTCAATAATGTATGTCAATAAGATTTTCTTTCAAATGAAAAATCAATAAAGTGACATTTTTTCCTTTAAATTTACAGCAAAATTCGATTTACGATATATATTTTGGAGGAAGGTGTTTTGAGGAAATGATATTTAATCTCAATTAAATGATTAATTACCTAAATTTAAACAAAAATAAACGTTTAGATTCTTATCGGTTCACAATTTAATTGAAATATTCTTTAATTCTATACAACAACACATACATTGGACAAAATATAAAAAACTTCATAATCAAAGAAAATAAAAGAATATTATTACTTTGACACGTAGGTCGACTAAAACATGACCGTACCCAATCATTAACGGCCAGACATTGTCGACATCACTAATTTGAACCGGGTCTTCCAACTACCATCCGGTTCACTTATTTTTCAACCGGTTCAACTTCATATAGTCATAACTCATAACTCACAACTCCATTAAGATTTGAATTTGTCCAATTTTGGTATATTTCAATAATTTTGACTTTATTACAATGTTGGTATTTCAATATTTCAAATTTTAATACATTTAATGTCATCAATTTTGACGATATATTATTCCAATATTGTAATCACTAACATGTTACCAGAAACTCCAAAATTTTAATATAATCCCAAATCTTGTAATTATCCAATATTTCAAGAAAAACGATAAATTGAACCATGCAACATAGTTAGTAAATTATAAACTAGTGGAGTCATAATTTTAAATTCGAATTGACAGAAAACAGTAAAAAAAATTCTAGGCGAGACCGTTAATACTGTTATATACAATTTTTTTCATGTAATACATAAAATAATATTAATTTGGAAATGTTGGGGTCCATGGCCCCCTATTCTGGATCTACCACTGTGTACACAAAATTGGTTTAAACACACAATTCATTTTTTTTAATAGTTTAGTATGTTACGCATGATTTATGCATCGAGTGATGATTTATTAATAACAAGGGGCCTTAAGATATAGGTCCCTCGTGGCAAAATTTATTAGAACTAAATGACGAGTCCAACTAAACATTTGCTTCACATCCTTTCTAAAATTCATTCCGAAAATACCCCCTCCACTCAGTATTAAGTAAATTCAAACTGTATTTATCATTTCTTTTTTGCATTTAATACTTTCATTTTTCCATATAATTTTTTTAATTATTTGTTTTACAGAATACTATTTTGTCTTCGTTTTTTTTCCTTTCTTCTTCAAAATTTTATACAATTTTATAAAAAAAAACTTTGTTTTCTATTTTTTTACGTAATATTGAAAATTACAAAAAAAACATGTTTTTTAATTCAACTTACATATTTTTTATTTTTTTATTTTATTTTCATTTTTCTTCTATCAATAAATATAGTCATCTGTAGTCACCTATAGTCATCGTAGTCGCCGCTATCTTCGCTTGTAGACATCTAAAACTTAAATTTCACTTCATCGCACATCATCTATATGTTCACAGTCTGTAGTAGACTGTGGTGTACTATGGTATGCTCTATATATTCACAGTCTATAGTAGACCATAGTATACTACGGTGTAATATGGTAAGTATACTATGGTTTACTACGGTGTCTATTCGAAACCCTAGCCGCCACCCTAGCAGTCAAAGCAACCTCCGCCCAAACCCTAGAAGCCAAAAGTCGCAGCCGTCGCAACCGCAGTCTCCTAACCCCTTTTGCAAAATCGAGATCTACAACAAATCGAAAACACTAACAAATCATATCCAAATGAAGAAAAAACTTTTAAAAAATCAAGAAAATCAAATCCAATTAGTCATAATATACTTGCAATTACAGATCTTTACAAAAAAATGAAGAAAATCGATTTGTTTATCTATTTTCATTACGAAATCATTATATAAAAAAAATGGAGAAAACCTGCTCCCTTCGCCGCGCAATCCCCACTGCACAACCCCGCCGCACAACCCTTTGAAACCAGCGTCTTCTCCATCGAGCCTAGCAGGACCTGCACCTGCTGTTGCTCCTTTGTGGCTGCCGCCGGCGGCCTTCATGGAGAGAGAGAGACCGACGACCTTCATAGAGAGAGAGAGAGAGAGAGAGAGAGAGAGAGAGAGAGAGAGAGTTGGAGGGGATGGAGGAAAAACGAGAAAGTCAGAATATGTAGGGGGTGGTTGAGCGGCGTGAGATAGAGGGGAGGGAATAGAGAGAAAAGTGATTTATTAGGTATTGTAAGGGTATTTTGGGGTTAAATAAAAAACAAAGGATATGTATCAAATTTTATTTTAAAATAAGGGTGTAGTTAAAATGTTTTATTTGAGATTGTCACTCATATCTAATTAGGTTTGGTTTGAGGGGTGTGAAGCATATTACCCCTAATAATAAATATTTTATATTATGCTCATCTACAATTTTGATGTCGACCAAACTTTATTAATATTACAAGAAAATGAAAAGTGGCATGATAAAAGTTACAAAAGACCGCACTTTCTCCTCAAAATTAATATTATTTAATAATTATTTTAAGGTTTCGGCTATATGCAAGACTAATTCCACTTGTGCAAGATCAAATTAAAATTTTCAATGTATAAATACTATAATACCCTTATTTATTAAAAAAATAAAAATTTCCGAATATGCAAGACCAAAAATTCAAAAACACAAAAAACCCTATCACAAGACCACAAAACTACAAGACCAACTTTCATCTTCTCCATCTTCCAAAATCCACAAGACATTTCTCCTTCCTCCTCCAGTAACCCACAAAACCTAAAAATTCAAAATCATCAAAAGTCAACAAATCTTACAAAGATGGCAAGTATATAGTCAGAAGACATCACAGTAGAAGATTCTACGATGGAAGAACAAAAAATGTATGCATATATGGGTTTTTTAGCTAGAATATTGATTTTCCAAAAAAAAAATCTCGCGCAAACGAATTCGACATGTACAGGTCGAATTTTACAGGTAAAAATCGACATGTAGATGTCGATTTTGAGGTATAAAATTCGACATTTGAATTTGTGCTATAAATTCGACATGTCAATGTCGATTTTTACCTATGAAATTCGACGCTTAAGTGTCGATTTGTAGCATAGTTTTTCGACACCTTGGTGTCGATTTTTGTTTCTTTCTCATTATTTGTATTTGGTTTTACATGAGAAAAAAAAAAGTCAATTTAATTTATGGGCATACTTGTCATTCCATCTTAATAAAATAGAATCTTTTGAAATCTTTCTTTAATTTGGTCTTGCATAAGTGGAATGAGTATTGCATATAGCCGCAGCCTTATTTTACTTAATGTGGAAATACATTAAAACTTATAAAAGTAAAGGCAAATTTACAAATCTGACCAGGGGTGTGCGCGGGCCATAAACCCGCGGGTTCTATCAAAACCCGTTCTCGTCCCGTCAAACAACGGTTCTTGATTTTGAAGAACCGAACTTGTGGGTTTTTAACGGGTTTATGATAGGCGGGTCCATGGCGGGTTTGTAGTAGGACCCAACCTTTACGGGTCAAAACCCGTTATCGTCTAAACTATTTTTTTTTATATATAATTTATAAGTTTTACGGGAGAATAATTATAAACTAAAATGAATAACCTAAAATTTTAAATTGAAACCAAACATAAATAATGTAAATGTCAAGAGTAAATAAAAATTAATATAAAACTAAAAATAACTAATTCATAACTTAAAAGACAAAATTTAAATAAAATAAATATAGTTTTTTCAAGCATAACCAACGCTATTCAGCTCCATTCAACACCATTTTCTTCCTTTTTTTCAGCCGTGTGTTGACCGTTGTATATATATGCTTTTTTTCCTACATTTTCTTAGAGATTTTCATAATCTTTATAGCTATTACTTCCACAATTATAGTTTAGTTGATTTATGTATTTGATACACTAGAGATACTTTATTTATTCATTAATATTATTAATTTATTATACTATATAATTTAAACAAAACGAAGTCGTTTTGTATGGCGGGGCGGGACGGGTTTCACGGGTATTAAAAAAAATTGAACCCGTCTAAGACCCAAACCCACGGTTCTTCACCATTTTAGGACCCAATCCTATGGATGGATCTATCCGTCCGGTTCCAACGGAGCGGTTTTTCACGGGTTTGACGGGTGTAGCGGGTTGATGGGTCCGACTTGCTCACCCCTAAATCTGACCCACCGGGTTAAACTACTAGTGTCCAAACGCCACCGTTTGCATGAACCACTTACCACGTGGCACTGACCCATTTCCACGTCCGAGTCCGTCCAAAATAAAAGACGTAAGCAGTGACAGTATCACACTCCCCACTTGTCCCCACAACTTCTCCATCCGACACGTGTCCCACCCCAACCCTTATCACCCACGTTTTTTTCTAGAACACCGCTGCCACGTGTCCTCCTTCCTCCCTCCTATATATTCCCCTTCCTCACTTGCGTTCTAAGTTTCACAAACCCCCTTTTTCTCCCCCCTTTCCCATTATCTCACTAAAATAAAAATACCTTCTTTTTTTTTTCTAGAGAGAGAAACAACCACCAAAAGAAAGAAAAAAAAATGGCCGCCGTGGATTTGCAATTGCCCCCCGGATTCCGATTCCACCCCACCGACGAAGAACTGGTAATGCATTACCTCTGCCGGAAATGCGCGTCACAGTCAATCGCCGTTCCGATCGTCGCAGAAATTGACCTCTACAAGTACGATCCATGGCAGCTGCCAGGTATTCGACGAAAGTCCCCAATGAGTTTCTCACTCTTATCGACTAAAATAAAATAGCATCGATTAATTTACTGTTACATTAGTAATCAAATTCATTTAATTGCAGGCTTGGCTTTGTACGGTGAGAAAGAATGGTACTTCTTTTCGCCCCGGGACCGGAAATACCCAAACGGGTCACGCCCGAACCGGGCCGCCGGAAGTGGGTACTGGAAGGCGACCGGAGCCGATAAGCCGATCGGACATCCGAAGCCGGTCGGAATAAAAAAGGCTCTGGTGTTTTACTCCGGCAAAGCTCCGAAGGGCGAGAAGACCAATTGGATCATGCACGAGTATCGTCTTGCTGACGTGGACCGATCTGCCCGGAAGAAGAACAACAGTCTTCGGGTCAGTAATTCTACCCGGATCCGTTTTTTTAAGAAAATGTTTTTTCTTTTCTCTTTCTAAAAGATGATTCAATAATTGTTAGAAATATTCTTTTTAAGGAAATTGATTCCTTCTTATCTATTTAAATAATTTTGACTTTCAAAGAATGATTGGTGGTAATAGAGTCTTTTAATCTAACGGCTGTAATTCGATTTGTCCAGCTGGATGATTGGGTGCTCTGCCGCATATACAACAAGAAAGGCGCAATCGAGCGGCAGCAACAGCAGCAGCAACACGTCAGCAGCGGGAGGGTGACGAGCGCAGTGACGTCAGACGGCGACACAAAGCCCGTCATCCTGACGTCAGTACCGGAGGCGTCGCCGATGGTGTACGAGGACTTCCTGTACCTCGACGCAGCAGATTCCATCCCGCTGCTCCACACGGACTCGAGCTGCTCGGAGCACGTGCTGTCGCCGGAGGTGGAGAGCGTGCCGAGGCTGACTGAGTGGGAGAAATCGGCCCTCGAGTTCCCGTTTAATTACATGGATGCCATGGACGGTGCTGCAGCGGCGGCCCTGTTGATGGGTTCGCAGTATCAGGGGAATTATCAGATGGATACGATGCACGATGTGGCCGCGTACATCACCAAGCCCTTTTGAGCGGTGCGCGTGAGAGTCGCACGTGGCACAGGAGACTATTGAGGTAGTCTGTGAGTGTGCACGTGCGGCCCGAATGTTATTACTCTAGTTATTTTAGCAGTTTCACTCATTTGTATTTAGATTAGATTGTAATTGGCGCTGCTGGTTTTCTAGTTTTTATTAGTGTATTTGGGTAAAGTGTCAATAGAAGTCAAAATTTGTCTTATGTTGTTGATCTCTTTTATATAAAGAATTAAATTATTCAAAAATACATGCATTTTATATATATATATATATATATATATATATATATATATATATATGGGGCAAATTACGGCCACCCCTGATGTATGGTCAAATTACAAAAAAATATCTCTTGTTTAGGTAATTACAGCCACCCCTTCCTTTTAAATATTTCTACGTAAAATTTATGTAATTTGGTTATTTACCGAACCAAATCATATATTTTGTTCGGTAAACGGTATGAAATGTTGGCGCACCGAAATTTTGGTCCAGTTTTACCGAATTAACAACCCTAAATTTAACTCTTGAGGGGTCTTTTCGTAAGATAAATACATAGTTAAGGGGGTGACACTAATTACCCAAATAGGAGGGGGGTTTTCGTAATTTGACCATAGCTCAGGGGTGGCCGTAATTTGCCCTATATATATAAGTGACACTTTAACATAAATTTTGTTTTACACGTGATCCAAAAAATTGGGCCCGAGTTTTAGTAATGTGGACTCATTGTCCCAACCGAGTTGATATGTTTCCCGGCCCAGGGGTCCTCTTTCTTTCTTCTACTTTCCAATTTTTTTTTTTTTTTTTTATTATCTAATAAGAAAACTACTACAAAATTAAATTTAATGTTACTAGTAAATTTGCACGAACTAAGACAAGTTACCTCTTTCAAGTACAAAAGATCACCTTAAGTTGAGAGAGAGAGAGAGGATTAAGTAACAAAGCGATAATCTCTACTGAGTTTGACCATATAATTGACTTTGCAGCAGCCAATCAATGAAGGACATGTGTCAAAAACACGTCATTTGACAGCAGCAACTATCGCAGCTCTGGCCACCGTAAAAGCAGCGACTAGTGAACCGAGCTGCAACCTGTCATTGCATGCTAAACTCAATCTGTATCTGCATATACACCAAGGCATAATATTCAATCTTATAGACAAGTGAACAAATATCTCTATAAAATCATGTTTTTTCGCTTTCTAAAAATAATAAATATATACATACTCGATATCGGCCATTTCGTTAATGAGCTGAACGCGAACTTCTGGAGGCATCATAATCTTAAAAACAAACCTAAAAACAAACAGCATACATATGAGTTAACTGATTTTTTTCAGCCAGGTGAAGAAATAAAAAATACAAGAACTTACATGGTTACTTCTCTCACAATATCAACCAGAGCCAAACCTTTTCTAGTTTTGATTTCGGAGATCCCTGCATATAATGTAATAAGAGAATAAATAGATGAATACATGACAAGTATAGTAGTACAAATATTCAAGAATCGGGAATACTTTTGCAGGCAGTAGTGAAGGGCTCGTTCAGGAGCCAATGGGAGATCTGCTCAATGTCTTTAGGCAAAGGATTCCCTGTGCACAAGTACACAGCTTCTTCTGTGATCTGCTCACAAGCCATATGCGTCGACTGCACAAAAAAAAGATAATAATACTTGTATAAATTTCCGTTTGTTTAAGGGTGAATTAATACTCAACAAGACAAATGTAAGCTTCGAGAAAATTATTAACCTGTAAGATATTCAAGGCCTTTCTCATGTCGCCATTACTAAGCCGCACGAGCGCTTTCAAACCACTTTCAGGAACATCAAGCCTAGAACCAATGAAATATGGGACAAATTTATTATTGACTTTAAACTAACCTAGCTGATTTTAAATGTTAAGAAGATAAAACACCATTGAAATACCTATTGCTGAAACATATTAAACTTACCCTTCGGCGCTAATTACATATTTAAGCCTCTCTGAAACGTGAACAGCATCTAGAGGAGCAAACCGAAACCGTGTACATCTCGATTGTAATGCTGGAATGACCTTGTTGACATTGTTGCAAATTAAGGCGAATCTAGTGCTTTTTGTGTATCTCTCAATGACTGCACATGACATACATTTAGCCAGTCGTGTAATCTAAATCAAATAAAATAGAAAAACGGTAAGAGATTCTTGCCTCTACGGAGAGCAAATTGAGCATCCTTAGTCATGGCATCTGCCTCATCCAATAGAATCATTTTTACAGCAGGCTTTGCACTGCACAGGAAAAGTTATACTCTTTACTTTATACCAGTTATGAAGAGTTTAAATACATAAAAATCCACAAAATTGGTGTTGTGTGCACGAAAGATGTTCAAAATCCCACAAAAACTCATTGAGGAAATGGATTCATTATTGGTTAAACTGCATCATTTTGTTTATATTATTTCTCAACCTGATAAGAGTTTGTATACACGCTGTACATTCAAACTTTATATTCAGAACAGTCTGACATCTTCTTAATATATTAAACATGGCAAAATGTGTAATACCATGCCTAGCAGCTACTCCTTAGTGAAATAATATCAAGTATCAAGAATCACCCAACAGTCAGGCAATGCATACATAAGTCGTCACATGATAAGTACATAGAAATACACATACACTCCTCTTTTAGACACGTGTATACATACCTCACGTGTATAATCATTACGAGAACCCTTCAATGAGCGAACCAATCATTAATTGAAAAGCCGATAAAAAATATCGACAACTACAAGGAAAGCAGAAGTGATATCCTCTAGAGGAACCAATACTGAGTCAACAAATAATTGAATGTGATAGACACTTTGGAATACTATAAACAGTTGAATATTTAGTCTTCCTTTGATCCAATTTCTCTAATCAAATCTACAGGCTAGCATAAAACGGCCCCTGTAACGTAAACTTCACTCATGTAGTTGCTCGGATTATTCGTCAATCGGTTTATATATAAACAAGAGAGATGCGCAGAAACGTAAAAAACGTGTAAGAAAATACCCAAAAGAAATGCTCTGAGTGCTAGCAAAGTCCTGAATCTGCTGCCTCACAACATCAATACCACGATCATCAGATGCATTCAACTCAAGAACCATGTTGGGCAACTGATTCCCATAAAGCTTCCTTGCCAGAGCCAAAACAGTTGATGTTTTTCCAGTTCCGGGTGGTCCGTATAGCAGCAAATGGGGCAATCTGTTCCCACTTGCTAATTTATCAACTGCAACACAAAACACCCTATGAAGGTTACAATTGCATACAAGAAATATAACATATACGTCGTATACACATACACGCACAAAAATACAGCAGAGATTTAAAAAAAAAAAATCAAGATATTTATACCACCCTAACCCATTTTTTGCCCCGCTGTATGCTACCTATTTAATAGACTAAGTTCATCGTTTATCTTACCTAGCCCGCCTATACTTGATTTATCATCCAAACTTACGGAAAACAATATTTTAATGAGGTTCCATAACTATATTTCAGATATAGTATGTTTTAATTTACAATATTTTACCTGAAATTTGCCCCGGAAATCTCGTTAACTTTTTAGCCCACCCTCATACTAACTAAGTGATATGCTTCATTACAAATGAACCACAGAAAACCAGAATGTGACTAGTAATACCTAATTCCATGAAAAATCCAACAATTCCAAGTAATTGAAACCAGTCAAAACCAAACCATTGCAAAAATTAGCACAATCAACAGATTTTAGGGCATTGACAAGCAAATATTCTTAGGGTGGGAATCGCAATATTATGCCCACCAACTGTTCGTATAAATGCCGAAGAAAACCAAATAGCATTAAAAAGTAGAGAGGAGGGCGTAAAGGAGAGGCAATTTACTGGTTTCAACAATATCACGGTGCGCAGCGACGTCGTCCAGAGACTGAGGGCGGTACTTCTCCACCCAAAGAGTGGCTTTGCTGTGCGGCGGAGGAGCTGAAACGACAACGTTTTTGCCCTTATTGTTGCGTTGTGGAGAATGACTGCTTTCGTCCTCGCCGTCGATGTCCATTAGAGAGATCACCTCCGCCATTTTCTGCAAACCCCCAAAACGACGGCGTTAGGTTGTGCTTTTGTCGGAGCCCTGTAATTTGCGCGGTCTCTCCCCCCTCTGCTACTGTGAAGTCTTTTTATGGTCAGACCAATTGTCTCCGGTAGGTTATTTTACGGTTTCTGCAGTGGTATAATAAAGTATCGATTCTTAGTTTTCAAAAGTTAGAAACGCGCGTTTAGTACGTAACCTTTTTTGTGTTAGCGAGTTCACTAGAATTGGACAAAACCTGAGAGAACAGAACCACAGGGGAGACCCACCAGCACATTGAGGATTTTGGCGCCAATGTAGCTTTTATTCTTTTATTCTTTTATTTTTATTTTTTATGTAAACAAAAATTGATAACCTCATTTAAATAATATGCTTCCCCGATCCCAATTTAAGGACAATGTGTTAAAAATATATATCGTTTAAATTAATGTTTCAATAAATTAATAGAATATGACCCACCTGTATTAATATATAGATGTTTAATTGTAATGTATTTCAGTGCGTTGTAGCATGATATAAAACTAGTCATTTTGCTCTCTAAATGCATCAAAAACTATTTTAGCTATATCTAAACACAAGTAATAACTAATAAGTATGTTCTTTGTCTAATTAAACAGTCCAAGATTCACATGTATTTACTGAATAACCACAGCACAGAGTTACACCTACTATATCTAATATCATAATCAGCCTTTATTTTTTTTCTTTTTTTTCCCTACATTATAGTCTCCAAAAACCAGAGCCTGCACCGAAAATTCCTTCCAAGAAACCATCATTGCCGGCAAAAGGCAGACAGCGATCTTCGCCAAAATCATGATCCATGCTGTTTATAAAAATTGTAAGAAAGAAAAAAAAAATCCCGGTGAGATCGCCACCTCAGCTTAGTAAAAGCCGAAAGCGAACGGAAAAAAGAACAGTAATCTGGTCAGGACTTTGGAAGCCTGTTGCAGTTAGCCGGGGCCCACCCCACTTGCTGTTTCTCGTTATCGTAAATCACCAATTTATCTTGCATCGAAATATCTGCATATCCAAGTCCAAGGTTCCGTAATTAATCAGAAAATTGTAGCTTTTAATTATTTGAAATATATTGTTATATAAATCCGTAAATTAATACCTCCAATCACATTGATATCCTCCAATCCAACATCGCCCCCGTTCAAGATTCCTAAGCAGACATTGCCCTGCCCCTAAATCAAGAGTAAACCAATTTCAATTTCTTTTTTTTCTTTTCTCTGTTACTACTCGAGAATGAACGTATATTCATTAAACTTACTGTGACAACAAGATAATATTCTGGGCGAATCTGAAATTGAACGTTTTTAGCATTTGTAAAGCTCAACGCCAAAGGCTTGAAGTAGGTTGTGGCATCTCGAATTGATTTAAAGGGCTTAGCTCCTTTCCAACAAACGGGAAGGCTTTTATCTTCCACTGCCTCTTTCAGTTGCTTCCCGTTTAAGTCTCCTTTTATCTGGGACAAAAAAAAAAAACAATCAGCTCCTACATTATAATATTATATATGTATAATAATGATCAACCAAAGCAAAAACACACCAGAGAAACGAGAGCGTTATAAGCTTTGGAGGTGAAGTAAGTGTAAGTACTTCCACTATCGAAAACTATAGGAAGGCCCTTAATATTAGTGGCTTGACCCCCGAACTGAAGGTCTGCGGGCCCCAACGAGTAGTGCTTTCTGAAAGAAAAGTCGAAGACACAGTTAAGTAATACTGGCATGTTAGAAATATTAAAAGGAAAAAAAAAGGGTATAAAAACTTACGATTGGCTCGAAATGGATTTCCAGACAATTCCTGAATCAGGGAGAAAATCGTCTCCGAAAAAAAGAAATCCACCGCCTTGTCCACTCAAACAATGACCAATAACATTTCGTGTCAGCCCCTTATTGCGCAATTGGGCTAAAATGCTCGATTTGCCGGTGCCTAAGCCAAGTACTCCATCGGTGTAAGGCAGATGAGTCAAATCTTGAACTTCTTGGCTGTACCCACATCTACATAAATGACAAAAATTATATGCTTAATGAACTGAATTTCAAGAATTTATATGATGCCTATAGCAACAAAAAAAAAAAACGAGGGTCTCACCCAAATGCTAGTTGAGGAGCTACTGTGGTACCATTAGTGAATTTAAGAGGAAACGAGTCCTTAACCATCACACCCAAAGACGAACCATTGTCAGCATAGTCAACTTGGTAATCACACTGGTCATGCGGTGATCGACAGTCATGATTACCAGGCTCGTGAAGAGAGGCACATATAGGATCTTGGCATGTGATAAGGTTTTGTTTCGGTTTGTAAAGACTATGTGGCGCCTGAAACAAATAAAAATAACATTAACACCAGAGGGATTGGATTAGCCTAATTTTTCGAAAGCATTATTGGAAAAAAATAGTTTTACCGGAGTGCATTTTGTGCAAGGTGCGTCACACTGAAGCCAAGTGAGATCACTGCCAGTGTCTATATCGAAAAAGTAGGGTTTGGGGGGTTCGCCGATGGATATTGACACATGATAGTACCTATATAAATATATAGGTTGTAAGTAACAAAATAGTTTAACAAGCTTCTCGAATAAAATGCGATGAGTAGTTAGAAAACATCGTAATGATCTCAATCGAGTTTCTTCAAATTGGCAAGTAGATGTACAAAAACGTGCAATAATGTTCGTCGAAACAATTCCAATTGTGGAAATTTTTAGAAAAAAATTTATTGAAAAACGATAACAATTCCCTTGAAATTTCAACCAATCAGCATTTCTAACATCAACATTAATACGAATCAATGATTAAATTAAAATAGCCCAACCGAATCACTCAAAACCCCAATTGTTCATAATCGCAATCAAAACACCGATTAAGAAAGTGAAGAACACATACTCATCAAGATGTATAAACACGCAGCCAAACATGGATTCATTTACAGGCAAATAACAAAAAGCAGCAGCTTAAGATAATCAATTTTTCAAAAAAAAAAAATTAAATAAATGAAAAAACAGTGGCGCGTACGAACACGCACCCTTTGGGATAAACATTTCCGGAGACGGGGAAAATCACGGAGGAACCAAGGGTTTTGGCGGCGGATTTAGGGTGGAGCTTGTTGATGATGGTCTGAGGGTGATAAGCAGCACCGGCGATCCACGTCAGAAGGTACAACACCAATGCTTTGAGGTACATCTTTTGATGCGTAAGAGAGCGGATAAGGGTTTCAACAGAGGCGAAATTGAAAAGGGGGGATTTGGTCACTCTGAGGGAAAAAAAAAATGGAAAAGAGAGAACTGAGTTTTGTGCGAGTCTTCACTGTAATTTGTCAGGAAAGGATTTTTGAAGGAAAAAAGCAGCGCATGTAAATCCACGTGTTTATATATTTTTTTATTATTATTTTTTTGGCTGCTTTCTTCGAAATTCACTTCGATTACGCGGTTGTGAGAGTGGGAACGCGTTTAGAATTTAGAGACTGGAGAAAGTTTTAATTTAATTATTTTTTTGGGTAAATTACGAAACCCCCTGAACTTAGGCTAAAGTACGAAAAAATACCCACATCTATTCGTTAGAAACCAAAATTTCCCTCTATTTAACTGTTGATCGAGTTTTTTAAGAGAAAATGTGTACAGTCTATTATACATTTTGTAAAGTCTATTTCCTGGAATAAAAAAATTAAAAAGTCACACATTGGTGTGAATTGGTGGAGGGTGTTTGTCGTTATTTAGACTAAGTTGATGGGTTTTTCGTAATTTACCCTTTTTTTTTGGCATATGTGTTAATGTGTATGTAGGAATGGGTTTTTTTTTTTTGGTCTTAAGAGATAGGTCCCTGGTGACAAAACTAAATAGAACTAAATGACAACCTCAACTAAACATTTGCTTCACATCCTTTATTAAATTCATTCCAAAAATGCCCTTTCACTCATCTTTATTTTTTTGTTTTATACTATATTATCTTTTACATTATTATAAACAACTTGTTTTTTTTCTTTTTTTACGAAAAAAAATATTTTTCATTTTTATTAAAAAATAAAGCAGATTTTAAAAAATACTAAAGTGTACTATGATATGCTATGGTACACTGTTGTATTCTAGATTAAAGTATTATTAAAAAAATCTTTTTTTCTACATAATATTTAAAATTACAAAAACAACGTGTTTTTCGTTTTTTTTTAATTCAAATTACGTTTTTATTTTATTTTTTAATTTAATTATATTTTTGTCAATACTGTAGTAGACTATGGTATACTGCGGTGTACTATAATCTACTACGATGTACTACAAAACCCTAGCAGCCAACAACACCAATCTCACCAGCCCTAGCCGCCTACATTCGCAGCCGTCGCAACCGACTTTGAGAAAACCTAGATTTACCATTTTTAACCCAAATCAAACAAAATCTCTTAAAGATCAAGAAAATCAGATGCAATTAGTAAAGAATATACTTTCAATTAAATCTCCACCATAACCACATCCCTCACCGTTGCATCGACCTCCACAGCCCCCACCGCCGCCACGACCACCATAGCGGGACAGCCCCCGTCGCCGCCTCGACCACCATAGCAGGACAACCCTCGGCTTGGATCGACCATCAAAGCCCCTATGCCGCCACCTGGCCTCCACCACCACGGCCCCCCGCTGCCGCCTCGTGTACCACAGGTCTTTGCCTTGTTTTACAACTGGAGAAGAAAGCAAAAGAGATATAGAGATGGAAAGGTGAGAGAGAAAAAAAAACGAGAGAGAAAAGAGTATGCAGAGACAACGTGTGTGGGAGAGAGAGAACGTGTGAGAGAGAAAACGGAGAGAATACCGAAAGAATAAAATAAATCTGAATAAAAGAAACGTGAATATATGTAGGTTAGAGAATTTAGGGTATAAGGGCAAGATTGGGATATAAAAAAAATTAGGGATGTAGCTCATATATTATTTCAAATTAAGGATTTAATTAAAAGAATGAATTTGGACTTGTCATTTAGTTCAAATTATGTTTCGTTCGAGGGACTCATAGCATATTAACACTTTTTTTTTTTACCAAATTATCCTACCAATTCGAAGTTCTACCAAACTAAACCAATTATCCACCGAATTAAATCCATCGATTAAATACAGGGCAACGGTACTTAATATTATTAAAATGGTATTACCCTACCGTACCGAAATATTTTATATTAAGTAAGTTAAAAATATATATTTAAAATACTTATATCTTAAATACTAGTTTAAATAACATTTCAAATTATAAGCAAATGAAATGCAAAAAGTCTATTTAAATAAATTGCAACCCATTGGTATTAGAGAAGTAATCGGTTTTAAATCATCCTTCACGAAGGTTATACAGGGTAATTGTTTATACATATATTATTTTTTTCGTCAAAGGTAACACAGTAGGGACATTGTATAAAACGGCAACATGCCTCGGGCGAATTCTTGTAATTAAGCAAATATAGGGGATTGTAATTAGAACCTACATCAATGGATTCCTCCTAATTTATTCTTTATTTTTTTTCATATAACAAAAGGGCGAAATGGACAAAATACATTTTCTATGGTGAAACACTCATCAGATGGGATTTTTTCGTAATTAATCAAACATAAGGGGGATTTTTAAGACCGTAAAATCAACCAAATTTGAAAATTAGACTTAAAAGAATTCTATTTTGTTTCAATATTAAATCTTTTAACAAGGACAAAAAGACGTGCAAATAAATTACTTTCTTCTAATAAAAGCCATTAGAAGGCGCTCTGCATTTGGCCTCTCTCTCTCTCTCCTCTCTTTCTCTCTCTAGAACAGCATATCCATGGCGGACAATTCAAGAACAAATTCCCAGGAATTGTTCCACATCCTAGGATTTGGAACCATTTGCAAGGCATGCAAATCTTTTCTTGCCAAATGCTACCCAGACAAGAAATCTTTCTTCTTCAACAAGAAATCAAACAACAAATCCAAACCTAAATCTAATCACCAACAAGATGCCAAGGTATACATTTATTCATGCATCTAATTCTCTCTCTCTCTCTCTCTCTCTCTCTCTCTATATATATATATATATATATATATATATATATATATATATATATATATATATATATGTGCGTGTGTTTGTGTGTGTTATAACATACATTTAATTCTGTTGCATGCATATTAATTCTGCAGATCACGAGATACAAAAGTCAACCCTCCAAAAAGAGAGATTCAGACAATGCAAAACCACAAGAATGGACCGCGAAAACGGGGCCCACTCGGCTATCGAGAAACGCGAGCCTCGGCCCTTCTCCGTTGTCGAGGAGCGCGAGCCATAATACATTGGCACCGGCCACAAAAGCCTCGCTGTTGAGGACCATGAGCCATAAAAACACATCGTCGACAGCTTTGCCACGTTCTCTCTCTAGAAGCGCGAGTCGAACGGGGCCCGCACCGATTCTATACTCGAACTCGAACGGGCTCGTGAAACCGCCGCCGATGGAGCGGCAGCTCCACTGCACCCTCGACGAGCTCTGCTTCGGTTGCGTCAAGAAGATCAACTTCACCAAAGACTCGATTACAGAAGACGGGTAATTATTTAATTAACTAATTTAGTACCCCACGTGTCGTATCAAATTGCTGAAAAACTCTCCGTGTTATAAATATTAACGAAAATACCCCTAACACGCATTTTTTTTTAGCAAAATAGTCACTAACTAAACCAAAATTGTTCTTGCAGGACAATAGTCGAGAAAGACGAACTTCTTACGATAAAAGTGAAGCCAGGTTGGAGAAAAGGGACGAAGATAACCTTCGAAAATATGGGGGACGAGATATTACCCGGTACAGAGCCTGCAGATTTGGTATTCGTAGTCTCCGAAAAGGAGCATCCGTTGTTTCGGAGACAAGAGGATGATTTAGAACTGAGAATGGATATTCCGTTAGTAGATGCTCTAACGGGCCCCACCGTCTCAGTCCCGTTGCTAGGCGGTCAAATGGCCAGTTTGACCATCGACAATGTAGTCCATCCCGGTTATTACAAGATTTTAAGAGGACAAGGCATGCCGAAGCAGAACAGTCCGGGAACAAGAGGGAACTTGATTATCAGATTTTCGGTCGTGTTTCCTAAGGAATTGACTGAAGAGCAAAGATTCGATGCTGCTAATATTCTAAACCAGGTTAAAAGATATATATATATATATATATATATATATATTATTGCAGTAGGAAAGAAATCAAGAATGTTATTGATACATAAATACATTACTGAAATTACAAGAAAGTATTGGCTATTATCAGTTCTATATATACTAGCCAATAATTTTGAGAAATTAATAAAACTTACCAACCAAACAAGGCGCGAAGAACACCGATTAAATTGCCACTGAACAGAGATTTAAGAAAATCGATCTTCCAATTAGCGTAAGGCGGGTATCTAGCAGCGATATCGCCCGTAAATCCGCGTTGTAAAACGGCCTTTTTATGGCTGAAAGCATCGAAAGAGAATCTTCCGTGGTATGATCCCGTTCCACTTTCTCCCACCCCTCCAAACGGTAAATTTGGCTCTACAAGCTGTGTATTCAAATAGAAACACGTTCGGGTTTTTTTTTTTCTTAATAATAAAAAATATAAAATAAAATATCGATTTTATGCCGCTTACATGTAGATTGGTGTCGTTAATTACCATTCCGCCCGCTGAGACGCTTGTTATGAATTCCTCTTTGAGCTTTTTGTCGTTTGAAAATAGATACGCGGCGAGTGGTTTCTCTTTAGAACTAATTAGCCTGATGGAGTCCTCGATTTTGTTGACCTTCATTATTTTCGACAAAATCAATACACTTAATAAAGATTTCATCGGCTAAAAAAATCCTCATTCGTGATCGGAGAATTTACCGTGATAATGGGAAGCAAAGGTCCGAAAATCTCCTCGTTCATGATTGGAGAATCTTTTGGAGCATCGAGTACAACAGTAGGAGCAATCTTGCTATAAAAACGGTGACCGAAAAAAAAAATTAGCCGACGAAAAAAAGGAAGTGCAAAAACGTAGTTTTTGAAAACTCACAGTTTGACTTTATCGCGTTGACCTCCAAGAACTATCTTACCGGAAACCGTTTCATCGTCTAACAAATTAATTAAACGGTCAAAATGTCGGGAATTTACAATGCTCGACAAGTCGTTTGATTGAAGAGGATCTTTTCCGTAGAAATTCTCTATTTCACACGAAAGAGCATCGACCTGAGAAATCATATATACCTTAATATAATCAAAATGAAAAAAAAAAATTACGTTTGTAAAATGCGTAAAAGCTTACCAGTTTCGAAGCGTACTCTTTTGTAGTAATTACGTAATCGGGCGAAACGCATGTTTGTCCACTATTGCCTCCCCACTTGCCCGAAATCATTCTTCTTGCTGCAACCTTTAGAAAAAAAACAATACACGAAATAAATAGATAAACGAAACAAAAATACAGGGGTTGTTCTGCAATATATGATAAATTGAAGGACTTACTTTCAAGTTGATGTTTGAATCGACCACAACTGGACTCTTCCCACCGAGCTCCAAAACAACAGGCGTAAGATGCTTCGCCGCAGCAGCTAATATGACACGGCCCACTTTACCATTACCCGTATAAAATATTTTATCCCATTTTTGTTCGAGCAATGCAGTTGTTTCGAGCACGGAGCCTTCGACAACTCTGACTGCTGACGTGTCCATGTACTCCCCAAGAAGTTTCGAGAGGAGTGATGACGTGGCAGGGGAAACCTCGGACGGCTTCAACACTACTGCATTGCCAGCTGCGATAGCTCCGATCACTGGTCCGAGCGATAAACTTTTTTTTTTCGAAAAAAAAAAGGAAAAAAAATATTAAAAAGAAAGCAAATATTTATGAATGGAAGAAGAAATAAATAAGCTCGAGAATTTCAAACGTACTGAACGGATAGTTCCAAGTTGATATAACCAATACGACACCCAAAGGCTCCGACACTATTTGAGCCGATGAAGGATACGTCACCATTGTCGTTTTTACCTGCAAAAAAGAAATAAATAAATTATATATATATATAACCTTTTATTCTAAATAACTAATTGGATAATAACGTCGATTTTCACCTTTTCAGGCTTCATCCATTGATGTAATTCTTTCAATGCCAACTCGCAAGCTGATGAAACTCCAACTGTCTGTATCATTAGAAGAAAAATTGAGGTGACGATACGATTTATAACTTAAATATCATGGAATTTATTAGCACATAAAAAAGGTGACATTTGTGAAAAAAAAAATTTTAAGACTAAGGCACTGTTTGGTTGCCAAGATAAGATTAGCCAAGATAAGATTAAATAATCTAATGAAAACCCAATTATTTGATTGGATCTCGGTACCCTCAAGATAAGGCAAGATAAATAACATAATATTTGTTGGTCGACCCGGTAAGTTATTGGGATACCAAACATCAAATAATGTCCAATTATTCGGTTTATAATGGATAATCTCCCCAACCAAACGAGGCCTAACTATATTTTTTCCATACTAAATCTCCCAAGAAACACACACACACACACACACACACACACACACACACACACACACACACACACAAAGGAACTAGGATTCATCTGAACTTGGCAAACATGTTAAAAGTACAAAAAAAAGATTAGCAAAATTTTGTGATCTTCGAATGAAAAAGAATCGATTTTTACGTGTTTCGAATTGCTGGAGTGAAGCACAAACACAAGTCATTGTCTTCACAATTTCAACCACAATTCTAACTGTGTAGGCCAACAAAAACCCACAAATCCCTTATCCCTTTTTTCATTAAATGAGCACATGAATTAAATACATCAGACATCACATATAATTTATATAAAAAAGAAAAAAAAAAAAAGTAGCAAGATTTGGTAATTAAGACAACACAAGAAGAAAAGGGCATCACACAATCATTTATTACTACCAAACAAACTCAAAAACCAGACAGTAAGAAAACAATAAAAAATTAAATTGAACAAATAAATAAAGATCCAATTTTTATTATTTATTTACTCCCACCTCATGAATTACAGATTCGTATTCTGGTTTGTTTAGGTCAGAGCGCAGAGCTTCGACGATTTCTCTCTCATGGCGAGTGGTTAGTTTGAGAAGGGCTTCCAGCTGCGAAACCCTCCACTCGTACGGCCTTGTTTTCCCGGCGGCGTACGCCGATCTGAGATCCTCCGCCACCCCTTCAGCACCGGCAGCCATGGCGGAGAAGATGAAATTGATTCTGAATGAAACCGATAAACAGAAGACTTCGTATTTATACTAAGTATCAGAGATTAAAGAGATGAGTAGCTAGTTGCGTAGATTATTTAAAGAATCAGAAAATCATGAAAAGAAATCTGTCAATTGACAAGTCAACCTAGAATCTGACGTGATTACTGAACATTTTATTTGTATACACTTTGCACCCCTAAAGTATAGCTTATATAACACTTACCCATTAAAAGTACTATTTGTAACACTTACCCCCTTCAACTCAATTATGCCATTTGATAGAATAATTGAAAAATAATTTAAATACTTTTTCATAAATATTAATTGAAAATTCAATGCAAACTAGTAACTCACCCGTGCGATGCACGGGCATCAATTTTAAGTACAATTTTTTAATGACTAAAACACGTCGATGAGATGAATCAAACACATTTATGAAAGAAAAGAGGATGTTAATGTGATGCATAAGGTAATATAAAAAATGAAAATATAATTTAGATAAAATAATCGAACAAAAACTTTGAGTAGTTTATATATGATACGATATGATATAATCTAATTTTCTTATAAAACAATAGCAGTTTCATATAATTTAAGTGACGATATAAACAAAATAAAAAAAATATAAAATATAAAAATTGTGATATAAAAAATAAGATACAGTATATGACCCAAATGCTATAACTATCTCATCTAATATACTCGCATCCTTCATAGAAATTTAATTATCATATTAGTGTTTAACAACACATATTAATACTAATACTAATGCTAATGTTAATACTAATATTAATACTAATATTAACACATTATTAATACTAATACTAATACTAATACTAATACTAATACATATACTAAGACATATACTAATACTAATACACATACTAATACTAATATTAATACTAATACCAATACTAATATTAATACTAATACTAATATTAATACTAACAACTAATACTCAAACTAATTACTAATATAATAATTACTAATGCTGATACTAATGGTAATACTAATGCCAATACCAATACCAATACTAATACCAATACATGTATCAATACCAATACCAATACTAATACCAATACATGTACTAATACCAATATCAATACCAATACCAATACCAATACTAATACCAATATCAATACCAATACCAATACCAATACCAATACCAATACCAACCAATACCAATACCAATATCAATACCAATACCAATACCAATACCAATATCAATACCAATACCAATACCAATACCAATACCAATACCAATACCAATACCAATACCAATACCGATACCTATACCAATACCAATACTAATACCAATACCATTACCAATACCAATATCAATACCAATACCAATACCAATATCACTACCAATAATAATACTAATATTAATACTAATACTAATACTAATACTTTACTAATAATAATACTAATAATAATGCTAATAATAATACTAATTATAATACTAATACTACTCCTAGCTACTACTAATAATATTAATAATACTAATGCAAATACTGATATGTATACTCATATTGATATTGATACTGATAATGATACTAATATGTATACTAATACTAATAGTTGTATTGATACTCATACCGATACTCATTCAATGCACATGCATTACAACTAACCTCACCATACATGCAATGCACATGCACTAAAACTAACCTCAATGTACATGCAATGCACATGCATTAAATCGTAAAAATGATAGAATTATCTCAAATCGTGATTGAGGGATAGGAGTTTTATACTTGAGGTGTACATGATAATTAACTAAATTACATGTTGATAAGAAAATTATCATTTAATATACATGCATTTGATCGTTAAACTTTTAGCCAAACCAAATCCGACATTTATGATTTGATGATATTAACAATGACAACAGAATAATTATGGATTGAATATAATTTAAATAGGCTTAGTGGAATTTCACAACGATTGATATAAAACAATTTTTAAGTAATATAAATGCAAATAAACATTGTCCATTGTCAAAAAATATTAAAATCACCATGTAATTGACACAGTTCAATGCAAAAATATATTGAGATGTGAAGCAAAATATATCTGAAGCTAAATTTGTATATAATAATAAACTTAAATTTGGATCTCTGGAAATCAAAATTTTTATATATTCCTACTTTGATTTACATGAACAACAATTTAGAGGCCAAAATTCACATTTTTTAAATATAAATCATAATTGTGTCAATGTGTGAGATGTATGCTTTACAGTATAAAATTACATAAATTTATGAAATATTTTAGCTTTTATGGAAAGAAATCCTTACAGATTCATTTACAAATATAAATTTAATTTAGTCTTTAATCATTAACATAATGAGATTAAAAAAATTTGATAAGTGTTGATATTAGATTATTAGTTAAGCATTAACAAATACAAATATGGAACAAATAAATACAATAATATATTTAAATAATAATTGAAGAAAAATATATTATTTCTTGAAATCAAGTCCAAAACAATACAATAATTGATTTTTCATAACTAAAAAAATTATATAATAATAGAGTAGGAAACTTATACAAAATTGCATGTTTACGATGCATCTTGCATTGCCAAAAGAGAAATTTGCATAAGACATAAAAGGTTTAAATTACAATGCTTGATATAAGTATAAACATTTGAAATTACCAAAATTCATAAGACCTATTTAATGTTTATCATTATTTCAATCTATTTTATTTTTAAAGATTATAAGTATGAAATAAATATAACTCGAATTATTATGCATATAATAAAATCATACATAGATAATACTTTCTTAAACTACCACATAAATGAATAACGCTACAATATAAATTAATCTAAAATCATTAAAAAATGCCTCACTCACCATTATAGAGTCTTTACCCTATAAAAAATCCATTTGTAATGCATCTTTTTAAGTGGAAGGAGTCGTTCCAATAGTAATATGGTTGAAGATGCTTTTAGAAATTTCGTCTTTTTTTCATAATTAAAAGAATATACATGTTATTTTCTAAAGTTTATAAAATTTGTAGACATATACTCGACGTTATTGTCAAACATTTAATAGAAACAAATATCGCCTATTCTAAAAGAAAATGATAACAATAATTAAAATATGGATATATAGTTCCGCATATATATAAGGTGTCATTCTTTACAGACGTGCACTCGACGTTAATTAAAATATGGATATAGCTAATAACTTAATATATATTTAAAAAAATAATATCTCATATTAAAAATTTATAAGGAATTACATACATATTTTGTTGAATTATCTACAGACATGTAATCGAAGGTAGTTCCTATTGAAGTAAAAATAATTGTTAATCACATATGAAAACGAAATAAAATTCAACATAACGTCAATCTATTCCATAGTTATTAATATATTTTTTTTTATTGCCAAAAATATGAATATCTGATGGTGGAGAAAAGTTAAGAAAATAAATTGTGTTAAACATATTTGGTAGCAATTTAATGGGCTTAATCCCAGTTTGCATCCTTGAAATATAAATAATTGACACTTTACGCCTTCGAATACATTTATAGCACTTTGCACACTCGAAACACAATGAATTATGTACAATGCACCCCCAAATGAATTTTTATAGCTCATGAAGGTAATTTAATATTTTAAGTGCTATTTTAAAGAATGTCTAATGTCCAATTAATTTTTTTATTCATCAATCCTTTCGAAACTATAAAGTGCACAAATAAATCAACATATTCATTTTTTTTTCAAAAAAAGTATATTTCAGGAATTAGTTATCAAATTATTTGAAAATTATATTTTCTTCAAAATATTTCTACCAAATATGTTCACTAATTACTTTAAAAAAATCATCAATCAAATAATTTAGTGAGAATATTTTTTTGTAAGAAAATATAGTTTTTCAATAATTCATTGTGATGTTTGGTTTTTCGAAATTTGTACGCTCGAAATTATATTGGGGTGGAAGAAAATAATAATTTAATTTATTATTTGCACACGTGAAATAAAGAAAACCAATACAAAATGATATTACCCTCATTAAGTTTTATATATTCAACTTAGGGTGTATTGTGAAAGATTTATTGTATTTTGAGAGCGCAATGTGATATTAATTTTTTTCGAGATGGTGAAACCTGAAATTTAGGGTGATGGCGAATAGTGTAACAATGTAATCAATATTTATTTTAGAAAACTATATTCAATTTATTAATTACAACTTAAATTTGTGTAAACAAATCAAAAAACGTGTACCAATATAAATGTTGCTCTCATTGACTTTTTAGACCTCGAATACTCATTCATTTTTTCATTATTATGGTTACGTACTCAAAATTTCAAAGATTAACCAACCTCAAAAAAAAAGAAAAAAAAAAGAAAAAAAAAATTAGGAAGTATACAAAATACGGTATAATTGGTTACAAATTTGTATTTGTGATTTTCTTTATTGAACTAAATATATTGATTGAATTTACAATTGTGTATAATATATTAAAAAATGAAAATAATGGATAAATTAGGAAAGAATATTGATTATACAAAATATGATCAAAATTAATATAATTTATAATTGATATTTCATAAATCAATAATTACCATTTGCAAAAAAGTTTGTTAAATAAAATGAAATCAATATAGAAACAATCATTAATTTATAAAGGGTAAAATTCATTTTGCACCCTTGTACTATCCGAAATGTATCATTTACCCTCCTAAAGTATAGAAAACATCAAACACCCCTCTGCCATTAGTTTTTTTATTAATTCCGTTAGTCAAACCCTTTGACCGACTATTGCAAAGAAATGTAGGCTTTTTTTTATTAAAAAAATACCCCAAAAGAATTTCTATATATAGGATGCTTCGTTTTGACAAATGTTGATCACAAGATTTTTCACTTTTCAATCATGTTTTTACCATTTTTAGCCATTTTTCTTAACAAAAAGCTGAATAGTCGAATAAATAAGAATGAAGCTTTGCTGAGTATGAATGTAAACCCACAAAAAGGAAAACTAAAAGCCGTGAAATCTAAAAGAAACCCTAAAATTGGAATAAAACCATATGAAAGAATTGCAAATTAAAAACAAAGTTTTTCATATTATAATGGAAAAATCCTCGAAAAAGAAAACTAAATATCAAATCAAATTCTAAAATCGACAAAAAGCCCTAATTTGAATGAACGCTAGAAATCATCAACAATCCACAAAAAATATGCCTAGAAAAAATTAGGAACTATATTAAACATAAAAACAGGGTAAAAGAGTCATTGCACACTCAAAATTTAACACCGTTAAAAATTTGACATTTGACCGTTAAAAATAGGGGGATGTTTGATGTTTTCTATACATTGGAGAGGTAAATGACACTTTTCACATAGTACAGGGATGCAAAATGAATTTTACCCATTTATAAATTCCAAACTTAAAACATTATGAAATGAAAATCCGTATCTCACTAAATCATGCAATTAAATCTATTCACTCACTCATTAACCAACTAATTTAACTAAATCCTAGCACTAACGCATGCATTAAGTTGTTGCACATATCACATAATAAATCAGCATTTTTATAAGTTAATATCTCGTAAATAATTTTGAAGGTACGTGATGCACTGTATTTATCAGTTGAAATATCTATGTGAATGCATAACAAAACCTGAATGATAAAAACAAACATACATAGTCACAAAGAAAGAAAAAAATATGTAGATGTAGTGTCTTAAGACTCTCGTTTGTCATCGCCAATCGATGCTAGTTCTTTGTCGTCCAGATGAGAGAAAATCTAGCTATTAACGAATTTGAACTAAAATTCACAACTACGTTGCAGTATGTTGATATTGATATGTTGTATTAATATATATTATATATAGAATGATACATACCTTTTTTTTTCTTGCGCCACCTCTGGATTCATGAAGTTAGACGTCCAAATGTTGATTTTGATTTGCATCAAACATGATATTCAATGATGACATTGTCATTCCTCTCATCTATGAAAGGTCATGAAATGCGATTAATAAATAATGAGGTATATCAAGCACACAAAAAAAAAAAAAAAAAAACAAATTAATGTATACAAAAAGTAAATACGATAATTAACATAAAAAAAATTACATGACAAACATATATACAAAAAAGAACCGATAGAAAATAAAACAAATTGGCACAGCGTCATACATTTTGTTCGATATGAAAAGTAATGGTGGAAGAGAGTGAATCAGAGGTTTATATAGTTGTGTTTGGATGATAAAGAAACATAAAATCAATTCAATATGGTAATAATATCAACAACATTAAAGACATTAAAATTGGATATGAATATGTTTCTATAAGTAATCATTTTAAATTGAGACTATTGACTTTGAATTTTTTAGAAGATGATTATGAATTCGAGAGATTAAAAAAGAGAGCATATAATATAAGATTTTTACCAAAATAAAAAAATAGAAAAAAAACATTGTCCTCAATTATATATAGTAGGATAATATATTAGAAAACCCATATTATATTTGCATATTGCAATGAAGGAATAACTAATGCTTATTAAAACATGGAAAACGTAAACATGGTAGTATCAGAAAAATATTTTCGTAAATTATGTAATAGAATATTTGATTAGATAATTCAATTTAGATTACAATTATAATAATTATTATGCATAATAAAAAAATAAAGAGAAAAAATTGGATGATTTGATTCGGTCAGTTAGGATGATTTACATATGGTGTTGATTTGAAGAATATTAAATAATTTTTATTATTTAATCAATATTTTCCCTAAATTAATTATATCAATTAAAATTAATAAGATTAAATAGGTAATAAATCAAATTATATTACATAAAATCTGCGATTAATTAGAAATTTTTTATATGGTAAAAAAAATTAAAATCCGAAAATTAATAATTTCTAAAAATAAAAAATGTAGTTTAATTAATATTTTGGTATGCAATTATAAATTAATAATATGTACATTTAAATAATTGTTGCATTACAATAAATATTAAATGATATTAGTTTTAATATGCAATTTCAAATTTTTTAAATTAAATGATATTAGTTTTCATATTTATTAAATAATATAATTATTTTTAATTTGAAATATGGTATAATAAAATTATATAAAAAATAGTGTATATTTATTAAGCACTTAAATAAAAAACTAAAACATTTTTTATTATTATTTTTAATGGAATGGATATTCGAATATTCTAAAATATTGAAAATTAAAAAAAAAAAAAAACATATTCCTTTATTTTAATATTTTAGTATTTAAAAAAAATATTTTTCTTATGAAAATTATTTGAATATTCGTAAAACAATTGAGTTTCATGAATTTATTTGAATAAATATATTTTGAAATACTAAAAATATAAATAAGATTTTTTTATTTCGAATTTATAAAATATTAACTTTGGAAATAATATATATACATGTGGTAATTATTAAATGATTGTGTAAATGTAAAATAGGAAAAAACTTAAAAACATCCATAAATAAAAATGCCACATAGTCAATTGCAGAATCCACCTAATCAATTGAACTCCAACTAAGCAATTTTGACAAATGACATCATCATTTGCCACATGTCAATCATTGAGGGCATAGATTCTCTTTTTATATTATATATAGATTTGGTTAAGAAGCTAAACTCGTCATTAGCATGTTTTTTATTAGAGAGCCGCAAAATTTGAAAATAATTTTTTTTTTTAAAAAGGCAAAAAACAAATAATATGTTATATGTGCGTCACGGCCCCATGGGTGTGCAAAATTTGTCTTTTATGGGCCGCCAAATAAGAAATAATGTGGACTGAATAAATTAAAATGAAATTTCCCAGCTGGTTCAAAATTTACATCACCTAGAGCTTGATTTAATTCGAAAAATACAATTTAATTCGATTATCTGTTTTTTATTTTTGTTTTCGTAATTGGAAAAATCGACTTTCAGCTTCGATTCCGTAATTTTTGAATTGGAAAACGGCTTCAATTTCATAAAAAAACGGACTGAAATCGATGAGATTCGAAAATTCAGTACATGGTGGAAATAAGATTTGTTTATTTTATTAGTACCTTCACAAAAATCTTTTTTTTTTTTCCTTTAAAAGTTAAGAGAGAATTATTGATTAGCCAATATCTCAAACTTGTACATTTTTAACTGCAATAATAAAAATAAAAAAATAGAAAATTAGGATAAAAATCATCCAATAATTATTGAAGATAAAGAAAATAAAAAACATAATACCGACATAAAAATTAGGCAACATCTGGTGGAGGTTATTTCCTAATTTCCTGTCAAGACACTATTGGTTGGAATTTCCACATCCAATTTCTCATATTGTAAGAAAATTGGTAACTACAAAATTATCTTGGGCCTACTTAGTAATGGGCTATTATTGTATATCTAATGGCCCTTTACTACTTGCAATACGCATAGCATATTTTACCTTTTAAATATTAAATATTATATTTAGAGAAATAAATATAAGATAAATTGTCAATTAAAAAAAAAATGATTAAATAAATATAGGTGGACTGACTAAATCTACACTCGCGTATAATAATAGTCTGCAGATCATAAGAGAGACGGTAAACCACGCTATACTAACCATGTTTGACAAACTCGACGTAACGACCGTTAGTAAGCGCAGTCGAACTTGGATCAATTGACACAAGCTCGTTTGTTCCAACTGCTAGACAATCTCTCACGGGACGATTTTGCTTATTATTTATTTAATATGAGCTTATAACTCACTATACAATAACTATTTACATCTGCACTTTCCTGCAATAATTTTAAAACTAGACAAAAGATGTAGATTAAATTATGTAACAAATCAAGTGTGACAACTTTTTAAATGAAGTTAACACTTTTGGCGCGGTAAAAGAATTCCAAATAATAATTCACATATTTCATTATTTTAATATTATATAATAGTAATAGTACCAAAAAGGAAAAAATAAAAATAAAAAATTACAAATTGGCAGTCAATTCCAGCATGGGTCCCTGGAATTACCGTGATTGAAAAGAATATCCCGTATATGGAAACTCCACCCCATCAGGGCAGAAACGTAATAAACACCTCAAGGAAGGGCGGTTTGTTAAAAAAATGAAAACCCTACAAGTCCCACGTGACGATCACGTGTCGGGTCAACAATCATTCACATAGGTCCAAACGGATTAGTTACATCCCCGTAAAGATCTCGACACGCGTAGATTGACCTCCATTATCAGCCGTCGGATTAAAACAGCACGAAGAGATATGGTTGGCAAATGACAGTTATACCCCTCGAAACCCTCTATAAATCCACCATTTCCGACTAACGAAGAAAAGAATTGCAACTCCATCTTCTTCACCACCTCACTAATCACTGAAAACCCTAGAAATCCCTCTCTTTCTCTCTCTTACTTTCTCTCTCTTCTGAATCTCTCTCTGAATTTGTTGATAAATTCGGTGAGAGCCTCACCAGGGAATGCAGAGAGATGATAAGAAAATCGGCTTGTAACCCCCAATTGGGAGGAGGGAGGGCAGCCAGCAAAACGCTCAATAGCGGCCGTAATTGCCACCGTAAACACGTCGAAGACGGTTGAAACCACCACCACCGCCGCCGCCGCCGCTGCAATCAGAAAATTCCGTCTCACCACCACCTAAATCTACATCCAATTTTATTTTGTTCAAGTTTTTTTTCTCAGAAGAATGAATATGGCGTCGGACGAAAAAAGCGGCGCGCTGCACGGAAAGTACGAATTGGGGAGGGTTTTAGGGCACGGCACGTTTGCGAAGGTGTACCATGCCCGGAATCTGCAGACGGGTAAAAGCGTGGCGATGAAAGTCGTCGGAAAGGAGAAGGTGATTCAGGTCGGAATGATGGAGCAGGTGAAGCGCGAGATCTCCGTCATGAAAATGATGCACCACCCGAACATAGTCGAGCTCCACGAGGTGATGGCCAGCAAATCCAAGATCTACTTCGCCATGGAGTACGTCCGCGGCGGCGAGCTCTTCGCCAAAATCGCCAAGGGCCGTCTGCGTGAGGAGCCGGCGCGTAACTACTTCCAGCAATTAATCTCCGCCATCGACTTCTGCCACAGCCGCGGCGTCTACCACCGCGACCTCAAGCCGGAGAATCTCCTCCTCGACGAGGACGGCAACCTCAAGGTGACGGATTTCGGCCTGAGCGCACTCTCCGACCATCTCCGGCAGGACGGACTGTTCCACACCACGTGCGGCACTCCGGCCTACGTGGCACCCGAGGTCATCGGAAAGAAGGGCTACGACGGAGCAAAGGCGGATATCTGGTCATGCGGCGTTATCCTCTATGTTCTCTTGGCAGGTTTCTTACCCTTTCAGGATGACAACATAGTCGCCATGTATAGGAAGATATACAGAGGCGATTTCAAATGCCCGCCTTGGTTCTCGCCGGAATCCCGTAAATTGATCACGAAAATGCTGGATCCGAATCCGGGGACGAGGATCAACATAGCGAAGATAATGGATTCGTCGTGGTTCAAGAAATCGGCATCGAAGAATCTCCGGAGCAAGGAGCAACAGGAGTTCACCATGGCGGATGAAGCCTACCTTGGCAAGTGGAAAGAAACAGAGACCATGAACGCGTTTCACATAATCTCTCTCTCCGAGGGTTTCGATCTTTCGCCGCTGTTCGAGGAGAAGAAGAGAGTCGAGAGAGAGGAGTTGAGGTTCGCCACGACCAGGCCGGCGAGCAGCGTGATTTCGAAGCTGGAAGAGGTGGCGAAAACCAAGAATTTCAGCATCAAGAGAAGCGATTCGTGTGTGAGGCTACAAGGGCAGGAGAGTGGGAGGAAGGGCAAATTGGGAATAAACGCTGATATTTTTGCGGTGGCACCTTCATTTGTGGTGGTGGAGGTGAAAAAGTCGAGCGGCGATACGCTCGAGTACAATAATTTCTGCAGTAAAGAGCTCAGGCCGGCGCTTAAAGATATTGTTTGGACATCTTCAACTGTGAGTTCGACTCCTGCTTGAATTCTTGGATGGATGAACAATTGTTTTTTTATTTTTAAATCGAATTTGAAGTTAGAGTTCATTGTTTATTAAGTATTATGTGAATTAATTTGGAGGAAAATTATCTGTTTTCGTTTTGTGTGATTGAATTATCTGTTTCTCTATCAGCTTTCGTCTGTTGATGTTTGTATTTGTTTGTGGATGATGATGTGTGTGATTAAGATTCTTGTTAAAGTTGGAACAACTTTTTGTGCATGTGGGCTATTATACAATAATGTAGGGGTTATATGCAATTATTTTTAAAAATTATAGAATTATTAATATTATCGAAAACTGCACTTTTAACCAACTCCTCAATAATGAGTTTATAGAGGGTATATTGCTAAAAACTAATGAATTATAGTGTGTTTTTGGTATTAAAATAAAATAGAGGGGTGAATGCAATAAAGTGATAACCCCCAATAATACACTCATGATGCAATTACCTGCAAAGTGGTGGGAGTCAATTTTGGTAAGTGGGGGTGATGACAAACGTTGATTGACTGACTGTGTTACCTAATTAAAGGTGCAATGATATTGTCCGGAGAATTACACTTTTGGTCCTCTATGTTCGGTCATATTTCAATTTTCGTTTTTGTGATTTTTAAGATGGACAAAATACACATTAAAAGATCAATTTTTAACACACTTGGTCCACTCCATCCCATGTCCGCGAGCAATTAACGGGGAAATGTCACGTGCAACGCATGTACTGGGGTCACGTAAGCTGCCCATGACATTTTCCCGTTAGTTGCTAACGAATGTAGTGGACCAGATGTGTTAAAAATTGATCTTTTAATCTGTATTTTGTCCACTTTGAAACAATGCTAGACAAAATTTAAAATCGGGCCAAACATCAGGGACTAAAAGTGTAATTATTCCAATATTGTTAGGTGTTGAGTACTATTTTTGCTAAACAAAGTATATAAACTTTAAAGTGATCCTATTTTTCGTGCTAATTAATGATTATAAAAATTTGCAAAGATTAAAAGGGCTCCCTTTAATAAAAAGTAAGACGAAGCGAACAAACAATCAATACGTATCTGATGAGCCCAATAGTAATATATCCATTGGGCCAATAAATGAGAATTAATTCTATAAATGAAATAAGACCTAAAGCTCATTTGAGGCCCAAATAGTCATTACCAAGTAAATTAGGCCCAAATAATGGCCCGATTGATACACAAGAAAATTGGTTATATTAATTGACACCTGAATTAACAATTTTATGAGGTTATTATACAATATTTAGCAATTATTTACACTATTTTTTTATTATTATTATGGTGAGTTTAAAATTCAATTAGTATTAAAAACATTTCAGATTCTTTATTTAATTTTTATTCTGGTATGTAGACATGCGTGCACTTAGTTGAAATTTGATTGGCTGATAAATATTTGATTAATATTTAATAAAGTTCTTATTTTCTAATTTATGTAGTTAATTAAAATTATCATCTTCTACCAGTGCTTAGTCTTAAACCTTCTTAAATTCCAGTTTTAACAAGTCAATTAAATAATTAAAATTTCATTCATTAGACAGCTTAAATACAAATATTATTTCAGTCCCTTTTGTAGGATCTGTACCTTCTGGAATATGCTGCTTTAATTATTACTTAGATGCCTATTAAAAAATATTTTTATGCTGTTAGGCATGGTTAATAACTAATTTATTTCCTTTTAAATTCTTTTATATACATTTATATATTTATTTATTTCATTCCACTCATACAAGCACAATATAATATATAGTTTATTGCCCAATGATTCTTCATCTTTAAATTATTCATTTGTCTCCGAATAATGAAACTTTGTCTTATATGTAGCTTGATTAGATCTAGATTATTTATAATTAAATCATATTACTAATGTATATATGAGGAGGTGGTATGTACCTAAGGACTAAGTTTATAAGTTTATTAAGTGAGCATGTGTCAATTGACCTAAGTTCGTATGCTGTTCTCAATGTTCGATAGGTCTAGCTTGTCTCAACGGTCACTCCTTTTTCACTCACACAAGATAAATGGATATGAATCCGAGAGTAGAGACTACTGCATGCGATCATGTGATCTAGGTATAGCTTTTGTCGCTCGAGAAGCTGTGACAATACACTCAAATCTTGAACTTGTGAGGTTAGTGCACGTAAGTTGGGCCAAAGTTGGCCGGGCGAAACCCCTCCCCTTAAGTCAATAAGAATTCGATAACCTACGAGTAGAACATAGTACATACCTTGCAGTGGCAAAACCAAGATTTCCTTACTAGACTAATTATGATTTTTTTATATGTATGGATGTTGAATTGTGTGACTGACCTGTATTTCATTTAATTTACGAGAGACGTAAACCAAATATACTAATCATGTATGTCAAGTTCGAACTAACAATCGTTGACAAGTGAATTCGAACTTGAGTCAATTAACATAAACTCATTTCATTTGCTCCAACAGTTAGGATTACGGACCATATCTTTTTTTAGTAAAAATTGTCTTTATTTGCACCAATATAATTTCGTTAGTAGTGACTTTTACCCTAAAAAAAAGTCCTTGAAATAAAATAACAATATGATAGTTATATATTTCTTGATAATAATTTGATAGTTTATTGAGACAAAGTTAATAATAGTATAAAATTAAATAATAAACACAAAAATGCTATGACTTACATTTACTCATTTTCCTATAAACAGTCCCATTTTCCCAAACCCCAAACATGATTCTCTCCCTCCTCATTTCATCTCTCTCTCTCTCTCTCTCCTCTTTTTTAACTTCTCCGAAATTTCGAATACGTCCACTCCTAAAAAATCTCAGTTGTGCTAACTGATTACTGACACTTGAATTTATTTTTCTTCTTTCCAATTTGTTTCTTCTCTGTAATTTTCAACGGTTACGATGAGGCAACCAATCAGAGAGAGAGAATTGCCCGGAATGAACAGTATGAACTCGGTGCTGAACCAGCACCAGATCTTATCACTCGAAGAAATCCACAACCACGGCCAATCTCAGATGTTTCCGTCCTCTAGCTTCGATCCGGCGTCGTCGCACGACGATTTCCTCGAGCAAATACTGTCCTCCGTTTCTTCCTCCGCCGCCGCCTCCTCCTTCCCCTGGGCTGAAGATCAGCCGGCGTCGGGTATGGTGGCGAATTTGGAGGAGCAGTCGGCGGCGCTGGCTTCCAAAATGAGGCAGCAACAGATCGGCAACGGCGGCGCCGCCGCCGCAAAGACGTTGATGCTTCAGCAGCAGCTGCTGCTCGCCAGAGGACTCGCCGCCGGTAATGAGAATTTGCCTCATTCCGATTACAACGACGCCGTTGATGGCCCATCCTCAAATTATGCTAATCTGGTCAGTTTTCGTTAATTTCCCCCAATTTTTTTAATTTTTTTTTAATTTTATCAATTTCACTCAATTGAGAAAATCAATACAGGCAAATGATGCATCGATTAAAGCTCTGCTCAATGGTTTCACCGGATCCCTAGGTCAAACTTCAAATCAATCTCAGCATTTCCACCACTCTCAGGTTTACAACAAAAAATAAATAAAAAATTACCCAATTTTTTGTTCTGTCACTAGTTTGAGAATGATAATTAATGACGTTTCTTATTTTTTTTTTAAAATTTAATTTAAAGCGAGGAGCAATGCAGCAGTCTGAGAATTTCGGAGCGCCGGCGGCGCCGGCGTTGAGTCAACCGGCGGCGAGCGGCTCTGCGGGACAGCCGAGGCAGAGGGTGAGGGCTAGGAGAGGACAAGCTACTGATCCTCATAGCATCGCCGAAAGAGTATGAAACAATTTATTTTATTTTATTTTAATTTAAGAAATTGATTTAATTGTGACGTCATTTCTCTCGTTTCGTTTGATTAGCTGATGTTGAGAATTTGTTTTATTATTAATTTAATTTTATGAATTAATTATGTGAAAATGAAATGTGGTGCAGTTAAGAAGAGAGAGGATTGCGGAGAGAATGAAGGGTTTACAAGAGCTTGTACCCAACGCTAACAAGGTAGTACATCCATTATTACAATTATCAATTGCACTATTTCCATATTCTAATATTCTGAACGAATTGGAAGAATTTTTGAGATTTAATTAGAAAAAATAAATAAATTAAACTTATTACTATTACAGATGTATTCTTCATAAACAAAGATTGTAAAGGAATCATAATCATCTTATAATATAAGTCCTTGCTGATTTTGTATATTATATTGTTTTCTATTAAAGGGATTAATCATTATTATATTATTAATTAATCATATGAGATGAGGTTAGGAGAGATTAATTACATAATTAAGTGCATTTGTTGGAATGACAGACAGACAAGGCCTCAATGCTGGATGAGATCATCGATTATGTCAAATTCCTCCAGCTCCAAGTCAAAGTATTCTCTCTCTCTCTCTCTCTCTCTCTCTCTCTCTCTCTCTCTCTCTCTCTTATATATAATATTTATATACGGTAAATTACGACTAATTACGAAAATCTACTTCATTACGAAAATCTCCCTCATGTTTAGGTAATTACAACCAACCCTTAACTATGAATGTATTTTCACATTCACCCATACGATATCAAATTTATGGAATCTAGATGATATGGAATATTCTCAGACTTGTACCCATTTTATCTCATTCGAGCTCCACAATTTAAAACAAGATGATCATAAAATGTGTTTTTTGACTTGTGGTGCATCAGAAATTGCATTTTTGCACAAAACGAGTACAAACTAGAGAAAATTCCACGGAATCTATAAGATTATGTTGAATTTGACTCCATAAGGGTGGACGTGTTAGAGAATTCATAGTTAAGGAGTATTTGTAATTACCCAAATATGAAGAGTTTTTTTCGTAATTTTACCTAAAGGGTGGTTGTAATTTACCCTATTTATATTATTATATGATCTGATTTCATGGATAAAAATTGTGTGAACACAGGTACTGAGTATGAGCAGATTAGGGGGTGCAGCAGCAGCTTCTCCTTTACTAGCTAATAAATCACATGAGGTAATGTAATGCAGTTTGATTTCTTGATTAATTTTGCTAATTAACAAAGCTCTACCCATAACTAAATTTATAAAATTAATTTAAATAAAAGATATTGTTATAGTTGGTGTTGAGAGTCAAGATTTATTTGATTATCTTATATTATCACTTTAGTTTGTTAAGCTTTTCAATGTTGCAGTATCATGCTTAGGTTGACTTGTAAGTAAAGTTAATTTTCACTAATAGACAATTACTTGCTGACACACGCATTCAATTATTAGTTCCTAATACAGATTAAACCTTTATAATACAAGGTTTAATTTTTTTAGCAAATTTGATTAAGAAAACATAATGCATCCAATATAATTTCTATGGCAAAATTACGTCCACCCTGAAGTAATTTAAAATTACGAAAACACTCCTCTTATTTGAATAATTACACACAGGGAAGGGGCGGCAAAGGCGCCCATACGGCGGCGTCATCGTCATCAAACAAGAACGAGGGCGCAACGGTGGCGGAGCAGCAGGTGGCGAAGCTGATGGAGGAGGACATGGGTTCCGCCATGCAGTATCTCCAAGGGAAGGGCCTCTGCCTAATGCCCATTTCTCTCGCCACCGCCATCTCCACCGCCACCGGCCACTCCAGGAATCCACTCCTTCACGGCGGCGAAGCTGGTGGCCCGTTGTCACCTAGTTTGTCGGCATTGACCGTCCAATCTGCGACGATGGGCGGCGGAGATGGCTCCCTTAAGGACACGGCTGCTGAGTGAGTGATGAGAAACGGCGTTGTACTTTTTCTTTGACGGTTTAACCCCTTCCCCATGGAGAAAGTGGCCGTGAAGCCCTATTGTTAATTAATAATAATAAATTATTATTTATTTTAGGGCTTAAGTTCACTTTGCTTGTAGCTCCTTGTACCATGAGTTGGTAATTTGGTTTCAATTTACCCCCAATAATTTTTTAGATCTCTAAATACCTAATTTCAACTAAAAAATATATATGTTGGTGGATTAAAATTCCCTTGAATTAAAATATGATTTCAAAATTTGTAACTCGAATAACGTCCATTTGATCTCATTTTTTTAAAATAAAATTGTCTTACATATTTTATAATTATACACAAAGAAAAAAAAAAAAAAAAACTCGTTTTATTTGAGAAATTAGAACCAAAATAAAGTGTATACTTTTTATGATTAGAGTATTGTAATTTGACAATAATTATGTGTACCTATGGGCCCAAAAAGAATTCTACACTAATGGAATTTTAAAGTCTGAAGAATAAAAAATGACGAATAATCAGATCAATAGGTTAAAAAATAGTACAGTAGTAGGAGACCTAATAACAACACTTTAATGCCTTTTATTATTAAATATTTTAATTTGATTGATGAATAAATAAATATATATTCGTTTTATTATTAATTTGATAATGAAAAGACTTTCCTCAATAATCATCCCCAATTAACATAGTTTTATAGAATGATTGGCATAAAGATATAATATTATATATAGGTTTTAATTATCAATTCTTTGGAGTTTGGATTGAAGATCCCATTCAGAATGGGCTGACACTAGCTTTATATATTTAATTTATTGTTTGAATTATTTTAGTATTTTACTTCACTTTGTGGGATTCCTTTTGTTTGGTGAATGAATAATGATCGACTGTAGTTTATTTTATATGTTTCGATTATGTTTCTTCTGACTCTTGTGGATGGACCCTAAAAAAAGTTAATTCAAAAAAAAAAAATATTAGGTATTAGTCAACGTGTTACTTTTTCCTTTTCACCAAATTTGTGTATTGTAATAATTATTTTGTAAAGCTGATTTTAATAAAAAATCATAAATAATGATCATATGTAAGCAGAGTCCTGCAAATGATGACCTAGCGATTGAAGTAAGTAAACTAATATCAATTTTGACAGAAGTTTGAATTTCTTTACCACGTATGGAATATATTTTTTATTATAATTATATGTGTGGCCGTTGGCTGATTTTTGTTATGCAGCAATTTGGGGGGCTTGTTAAAAGACAAGTCCAATTTCTTGGACACTAAAAACATGGGGCGCACGTCCTCTAGTAGAAATACTTATTCCTTGTTGCCTACAAAATAGTTCCAAGAGTCCTTATTGAATTTCATATTTATTTTGCTGTACTGTTACATTTTAAGTATCAATATAAAAAAAACTAGAAAATCGTAATAAAAATATTGTTCCAAAATTAAAAAATCAGATCGAAATTGGCCAAAAATTACTATCCAATTTAACTTCTAGTAGGAACCATTGGAAAAGACTAGTCCCACATGCTTAATAAGAGCAGCTTCTACCGAACTGATCGACATTTCAATACTATGCTAATTACGGCCAGCCTCTGAGGCAAGCTCAAATTACGAAAAAAAAAACAACTCTCATGTTTGAATAATTACAACCATCTCCTTCAACTATGTATTATCTTGCGAAAAAACCTTTTTTTCCGTAGATAAATTCGACACTTGATGTTTTTTTTTTCGTAATTTGCCCTTATTTTTAGGTTCCAAATTTCTCCATTTATACCGCTAGGCGCTAGATATACCATATGAGATAGATTTGTTCAATTACCAAAAATGTTGCATTTTTCAAAATAAAAACAAGAAAATGGATATTCCAAGTATTATAACATATGTCATCATGCAATTAGGTAGTAAAAGCAATGTGTAATCAATGTGTCTTCTCAAATATTATCATGTCTACTTCGTTTTAACCTCGATCTCGAGCCTCGACATAGCAATGTGGGATCAATCTCGAGCCTAGACATAGCAATGTGGCATCAATCTCGAGCCTCGAGGTAGCTGCTTTTCAATTTAACCGACTCCAATACTACACACACACACACACACACACACACGGATACCTAGGGTTCAATAAATAAGGAGAGATCAAGTATCCATTTGATTCGCAATGGCCCTTCATTTGAATAAAATTACAACATAAAGCTACCGTAACCAAAATGAGTCTTACTAGCACATTCAAAGACTTCTAGCTACAAAAATACGTAGGTGAATGAAAACGGAGTGAGAATCACGAAAGAACATATTAAGTACTTTAGCGGATCTGCATACGATATAGAAAAAAACAACATATAATTTCTATAACTATGGTGTCCAACCTAACTTGTATAAAAATACGACGAGCAATTCAATCTCAATCGCCGTCATTTCTCTTACAGCCACTTTATCAATCAAGCACAACCGACGGGTAATTTCACTGCCCGCTTCTCTCAACGGACCAAAACATCACACCCCTGCCAAATTTCAACTCGTAATTTTACAATTTTCGGGCATTAACACAAAACCTAATATTTATCAACCACATTATATTCAATAATAATAATCACACGGAAGAAAAACACAAGAACAAGCATCAATCAGATGCATCGATTAGAAGATATTCACACGATTTGAATCCGACAAAATGCAATCAACCCTTCAATATGTGCAGCATCAATATCATCGTTATCCACAGTGGAAATATAATTTGTAAGGCCAGACACTAGAATTATTTTTATCGAGAAATTGCAATATCAACAAGAACAAGGGGGTTTAAATGTATAAGGCTGCGGAAGCGACAACGGACCTCGCCTCGATTCGTTATCATCCAACAGCCTCTGAACCCTCTTCTTCGCACAATACTGCCGATCAAAATGCTTCACCTACAAATTAAATCAAAAAAATAAATTAAAAAAAAGACCCTAATTTTCAAATTCAAATTAATAACCTCAATATAAAAAAAAAATTCAAATTCAAATTACCCAGGTCGGTCTGCATTGATTCACATAAGCCTCCCTATTTTTCTTGCATTCAGCTGGGTAAAGCAGTCCCACCGACGCAGATTCCGTCGGTTTCTTGTCTGATTCTTTCTCCAAACATGCATAGAACGCGTCTCGAGCCTTTCAATCCACAATTACATGATTATTAAACTTTAATTAAGCTCTAGTTAACATGACATTTCCCCCAAAACAAAGCGAGGAAACGAAAAATTAGGGCATAGAAACTACAGCAGAACGTGATCGAATTAGGGCAATTACAAGCTTATTAAACATTAATTAAGCTCTAATTAACATGAAATTTCCCCCAAAACAAAGAGAGGAAACGAAAAATTAGGGCATACAATACTACAGCAGAACGTGATCGAATTAGGGCAAATAAACAATTAGAATTACCTTGTAACAAGCAATCCTCGCTTCTGAGAGAACATCGGAGTGAACGGAATCGGCGGCCTGAGATGAATAAGCTTCCAACGCCATTTTCTTACTTCCACCAAAATTTCCCAAATTGTTGTTCGCTGTTTGTAAGTTCAATTGATTTCTTGGAAAGGAATACAAGGAAGAAGTAATACTGTATCACGGGCCTATTAGTTAATTGGGCTTATTAATTTAGGCCCGTTAAGTGTAAAATAGTTTTACTTACGGGCCTAAATTTTAATTCCTCATAGACCAAAACTTTTTGTAGTTCTTATTTTGTTTTTATTAATGATATTTTGGACAATAAAATGCTGAATGTGTAGTATGGCTTATTTTAGTATTAATATAGCATTAATATTAGTATTAGGACTGGTATTAGTATTAATATTAATATTTATATTAGTATCAGTATCAATATTTATATCAGTATTAATATACAGATGGCACATAAAATTATACATTGATAAATGTAGCATAAAAATATTCAACAAGTCAAAATCTAACGACTAATGTTACTAGCAACGTTGTCTATAGTGAAATTTTTCATCAATTGCGAACGTGCATCATGAAAAATGTACATTGTAATTCAATAAAACATTTGTTTTTTTGTATTATTATTATTACATTTATAAATAATATGCATTATTTAAGGTTACCACCAATCATATGTCTCAATTTGTTGATGAGTACTTTTAGTGATGACTTTTAGAATTAGTACTAATGTTTTGTACTTTATTCGCGTGTCTTATCTCATTACTTTCTTTCATATGTTGATCCAAGTGCATGTACTAGGGTACCATTAAAACATAAATTAATTATTTTATGTTAAAGGCTCTAATTGCATAGGTGAAAATTGGACGGACCGGATGCGAATCATATCGAAATTGACACTTTTGAAATTTTAATTTTCCCGAAAGTGATAATTTAATTCTTTCATTTCCAAGAGAATTTGGGAAATCAGGAAAATTGAATTTTTGAAACTATTTTTCTGAAAAAAAGGGGAACATATCAAAACCGGCAAAATTCGAAAATTATTTTTCAGTTTCAAAACCGAGATAAGTAGTATTTAAGTACACTAGAGACTTGTGGTTAACCTAGTGTGGTCTGTCTCTCGTATGGTTTGCAAGCTATTATACGATAGTATATATTTATCTAGTGCACCTATATATTTGATTGCGGGTTCCTTCATTACAAAAAAAAAAATGCACTAGAGACTCAATAAATTAATAACATCGCTTAAATAATAATACATTATGGCCACACCTCGTGTAAACATATTATTTTATTAGTTCGATAAGTTAATATCTCAGTTTAAATTTATATTATCGTTAAAAAATAATTAAATAATGGAGTAAGTAATATTATTATTTAGGGTCTCGAGAAAAGCTGTGATTAATTAAATAATTTTGTTAGTAATAGATTAAATCCCAAAGGTTTATGGTCCTTTGATGACGCACCAAACCACAAACCGTTGAAACCAAGATCCGACGCTCAATATTGCTCCACGTTGCCCTCTTCCTCTTTCTCTCTCACACACAGACACGTATAATCTATCTAATATTGGTCATCTGGAAGATACCAGTCTGCTTTTTGTACGCTCTCACTCCATTAATGGGAGCGAAGAAATTTCTAATAGTCCAAAACCACTCTTCGGAAGAACAAAAAAATATTCCCACAGTTCCATGAAATACTAATCCCCACCATTAAAAGCAAAGATGTAAGCTTTTTTCAGCCTTTCTTTCTTACACTAAAACTGTAGATTGTGTAGTACTGCAAACTGCAGACAGTGTAAAATTAATATTGAACAGCTGTTCGAACAACTGCATGGAGGAAGAGGAGTGTATAGTATCACACACTGTGAGTCATCAGCTCCAAGAAACCCTAATTTTTTTTTTTTTTTTTTTTTTTATGGGACTTCTTAGTCTTTAGTTTTCAGATCTGGGAATTTCTGTGTTTGGATTATGCATTCCTGGTCGGAAAATAATTCCAAGAAAATTTATGGGTTCTTTTCTTTCTCCTGTTGTAAAGGGGGAGAGACAAAAAAGAAAGAATTTTTGACAGAAGAGAGTGAGCATACGCAGGCAATTGTATTAGTGTATACCTTTGTGTGTATGCGTGTGCTCACTTCTTTTCTGTCAGCTTCTCTCTCTCTCTCTCTCTCTCTGGTTTTCAGACCTGAATTCATACACCTTTTTTCTTATGGGTTTTTTTGTTTTTTTGTTTTTTTGTTTTTGTTTTGTTTGTCTAACAATATCTACCTTATCCGATGATATAAAGACCATGATTGGGTGATTTACTCATGACAAGGTACGCCTTTTAATTTTATTTTTTTCTGGGATTGTTTGATTTGCTGATGTAACCATTTGGGTGGAACAAGATTATATTATATTGGGGTTATATTTTATGTGATTAATTTGTTACTTTGTTAGCATTCTTGAATTTTGTTGTGATTAAGGTTCACTCAGTTATTTATTGCCTAGTGGTATATTATGTTAATTATTATTAATTATTATTTGTTTCCTCTTAACTTGACAGAGAACTTTAGGATTGTTGATGCAAATTAGCTCATGGGAATTTTTATTTGTTTTATTTTAATTTTTTTTTTTTTTTGATATAATTTTTATTGGGCTCGTAGGGGTGGAACAATGAATAAAACAAGTTGTACAATGGATATTAGTCCTACAGTTTCTCTGTCATGTTATTCCGATTTGAAAGAATATCCAATTTTGTTGCTAGATTTGTAATTTCCTTGATCTGGTTTCTTGATCTTAATGCAGTCATAACTTGGTCGAGGCATACACATTCGTAGTTTGATTTGCGAGGGTAGAATCGGTAAGTTGTCAACTTTCTGCTTGTAATGTTCTTGCAATGATCATTAATTTTATCACTTACTATGGTTCTGTTTGGTTGTTGTGTTTCTGTGACTTGAATTAGTTCCTATGTTACGTATTCAATCGAGAATTCTTTTGCTTCTTTAGCCTGAAAAAAAAACAGGAATTTACTTTTCGTGAATGGACTTGATTTGCATATGAGTTTGAAAGATATAGTAAAATGTATGTGAGATTAACATATTACTGGTTTTGAGATATTTTTATCGTACAATGGTATTTGGTTATAAGAAGAAACGTACTTAAGAAGGATTCCCGAATAAAAGAAATCGGTATGGAGTATTGTGTACGCATATATATGTATATGTTTGGTTGGAATGCGGTGAGAATATGAATATGCGAGTTATGTTTCGATAATATTCAGCGTTTAAATTAATTTGTTCGTAAAGATTGTTATTTGGTCATCTCCAATATTGGAATAAAGCGGAGTTGTCGAAGTAAATATATGATAATTATTCGTAGATTTAAGAAATGTTCTGCGAGTTACAATAGGGTAAAACGGGGTTCAAACATGTTCATTAGCCAGTACATATGCTACACCACTTGTGAAGAATTAATCGTGATAATGAATTACATCATTCTGAAAATTTTGACCTATATTGACTACGAGTTATTTTCAGCTTCAAGGTATTAGGCAGGAAAAAAAATAATGTTCGAGCATGAAACTTTAACGAAAGAAATATCCAGTCATAAGAATTAAGATGTAATAATAATTCTTGATGTCGTAATACTTGTATTAACCACTAATGATTACCTAGGCTCTAGAAGTTAATCCATGGTTTATTAGTTGCTTAATTTTTGTTCGAGTATTTAAAATTCGATCCAATTTGATAGAGGTTTTGGCATAATCTTGTCAAATATTAAACGAAAATAGGTCAAACAATCAATCCTGGAATCCGTTAGTTATCGAGGCATAATGGATTGGGTGACATAGTTTAAGTAAGTTTCACTACTATGCGGAAAGTGATCTTTAAATAAAATATAATAACTAATAATATATTCGTTTGATAATTTGAAAAACCAAATATTAATTATTTCTGCTTCCTACTTTTGAAAGCTGATGTTTTGTTAAAAATATTTTTGGTAATGGAAGTGTTCAGACAAGTATCAACAGAGGCGATGGCCATTATTTTGTGTGTGTGTGTGCGTGTGTGTGTTCGTCGTGATTTTATAATGTACGCCGCGCGTATCTAACTGTGAAATTTCAGTAAACATACATCTATGCGATTTTGTTATTCTTGAGATATTATTTATACTAGCTTTGATAAAATGCCGAACACCAGTTCACTTGTGTTGTCTATTTGCAGCTTCTGAACCGGTTTGTGATTAGGAAGGCTTCGTTTGGAGACTTTCTCAAAAATTTCGGACCAAATATTTATGATTATTTTCAGTACGTTACTGATTTGTAAATTGCAATTTTATTTGCTTTCACGATGTATGATGCATCGGTAGGTTCATCCTAAATGGTTTCGTTGAGGTTGCAAGAGGTTTGTTTGATGCTACACGAACTAAATTTTACCGTATGAAATTTCGCCTTCATTTCTATATTGTAACTACCCATTTGTACACATTAGGGGTGTAAATCAGTTGGAAAAATTCCGATTTTTTTTCGGAAGTTTAAAACTAGTTTCAATTCCGTTTCAAAAACAAATCGGGAAAAATATGAGATCCACATGAGGTGTGTAATACTATCTGAATTCCGGAAATTGGAATGTAAAAAAATGTTCCAAAATTAGAAAATTTTGGGTCGGAATTAGCAGGATTCGTAAATTTCAAATTTTTGGTCCCTTCAAATGTAAAACACATAACAATGGAATTTCAAGTGTAATATTTGGAATTTTCAGATTATTTTTGAAATTAAAAACTTGGATTGAAAATCAAAATATTATATATATTCCAATTTCGATCCAAATAATTTCAGAAAAGTCGGACCTCGGATTGACAAATATTGTTCCTGAAATTGAAAATTTCGTTCCAATTTCAACCTCCAGTACACTCAAATAATTTCAGAAAAATCGGACCTCGGAAACTGGCGTTCCAATTTCAACCTCCGGTACACAAAACCTCCGGTACACAAAAAGAAGGTAAATTAAAACAAAAGGCCCTAAATCAATTTTTTTTTTTAATTCTTCTGAGAGAAAAAAGCCCTAAATCAATTAAATGACATGGTACGAAATTCAAAATTCAAGAATCCACGTCTGTCACACTCATCACAATACAGACGTGGATCAGAAATCAGTGACACATCTGTACCTGCATATTCGTTATCGAATTCTTTAAACAAAAAATAAAATAAAATAAAATAAAAAAACTCAAGATTAAAAAAAAAATGAAAACAAAAACACAGTATAGCATAATCCGGTTGCTTTAACAACCCAATGTTCAAAATATATGTTAGTCTCGAAAACACCTATCAAATTCTCCAATACAATTCATGCAAAACAACTGCTCAAATAAAAAAAAAAAAAAAACAAATCGAGAGAGAGTGAGAGAGAGAGAGAGAGCGGAATATAAATACGAAACCGACTCGACTCACTCATATAATTTGCACTCCGAAGAGTTTAAAACCTTTTCCCCGCGGCGAATAATTATTCGCCGAAGAAGCATCCACATTTTGCGTCACATCTTCAACCGCATTCACAACACTCCCCTCAAAATCCATTCTCTCGACCCCATCCAAACCCGCCTCCGCCACCTCAGCCAGCTCCCTCGGGCCAACACCGCCTTCCACCACCGCACCAACGCCGTCACTATTATAAGCCACATCAATCAAACACATCTTCTTACCTCCACACTCGTACGAGTAGAAAATAACCTTATCCATCGATTTCAACCCCTTATCCTTCGCGAACCGATTCCACCCCCTCGTGAACACAAAGCTCTGGCTACTCTTCCAATAGCAATACCTAAACTTCCACGGACTCATCCCCCTATCCACAAACGTCAGCTCCAAATCCATTATTCCGCCATCTTTCCCATTTTGCCCCTCCACCTTATCCATGATTCTCGGGAAGTACTTCACCGCGTACTTCTTCGGTATCACCAGTCTGTTCAGCTTGCTCACGTCGCTGGGCGTCAGCTCCTTCTGGAACAGCTGCCGCATCCTGACACCCACCGCGCCGTGAGCGGAGGCCGACAGACAGCGGCGGCCGCGGCCGGCAGCTACCTGGCGGCCGTGCGACCGGAGGTACTCGGAGAATCTGGCGGCGTAGGTGCCGTCCTTGATCATGTTGAGGACGGCCTCCGTGGTGAACTGTCTCTGGAAGTGGGGCTCGCAGGCGGTGATGGAGGTCCACGGGAAGTTGCGGTGGGTGGCGCCGCCGACGCAACCGCCGCTCGGGCGGAGCGTGATGGAGGCGCTGTCGTAGGCCATGGCGGCTTCGACCTCCGACTTGAAGGTGCCTAGCCAGTTGCGCTGGTGGTTGGCGTATATCTGGGCGCCCCAGTTGCCGTTCGATTGGCTCACCACACCTTTGAACTTGGAAGGCGGCGCCGCGGGCCCACTGTTGATGATGTCATGGCCGGGGAAGAAGGGGAGGGCGGTGGTGGTGGTGCTGCTGCTGTTGGAGTCGGAGATTTCGCTGCCGGATAAAATGCTTTTTTCTTCCATTTAATGATGTCCTGACAAAATAAGCAATAATGTTCATGCAATAAACTTTGAAATGAAAAAAAAAAGGACTTTTATGAGCACACAATATCCAAATCGATGACTGAATTAAATCGAGGAAAGAATATCGATGGATTGTTTAAAGATAACATGCAGTAAAATGATAAAATACGAAGACAACATAATAATAGATAGTAAGAACAAAGGTTTTAGATCGTAACTTTCGATCGTATAGTAGTTTACACTCTACTAAATACCACAATTTGCACGAGCGAAAGAGGTGCGAGACAAAGATTTATGTAAAACTTAAGACAATTGTTAACAAAAACAAAATCAAGAATCATTAAATCAAATCTAAACTCATGAATTCGAAACGTAAAACATTGCAATTAAAAAAAAAAGGGTTTTTCCGCGTCTTAAAGAACATGGACACCCTAATTCGTATAAAAGTCACCGTTGTAAAATAACAAAGACATAAACCACTCATTTATTGCAGCTTCTTCGCTATAAATACGAAGGAATATTCACAGTCAGCCTCCGTTATCGAAAACAACGGGAAATAAAAAATCGAGGGCAAATACACAACTGGATTTCATTCAAATCTAGGGCTATTGGGATACAAATGGGAAATAATCAGTCAATTTATACGGCGAATTGTGACATAAACAAATAAGTAACAAAACAACAAAGTCTTGTGCATCACACACATCGCAAAATTGAGTAGTAACATAAAATGATGATAAAATCAATCATACACAACTTACACGAATTAGGAAAAAGGCGAAAATCATAAATCATAACGAAAACAAATTACTAGTAAATAATGATTCAATCTATTCCAAACAATTGCAATCATAAAACACACAAAAAAAATAAGTTCCAAACCAAGAAATAAAGAAGATAAAAACGTAAATCAGATCCGAAAACACCATTGACAAACACTCCAATCATTTGATTACCTCGGTGCAATCGACAAATCTCCGAGAGCTAAATCTCGACAAAAGGGTTTCTCCAGAACAAAATCGGGACTCAATGAAGTCCAAAATATATAAATGGAAGATAAAAATCAATGCGTTCGGGATATAAATACGGCCAGGTTTTATTCCAAAATATATAGAGGGAAAAATTTAAGACAACGAACGTAATAAGGTGACACGCTTCAGTAGGCGGTTGGTGCATTTCATAATAAATGCAAAATGAGTATGATCCAACGATTTGCATTTAAAGATTTTCAAATTCAAAATTTTATCCGAAAAGGGAAGAGGTATTACGGAGGATAAAAACAATAAATTCAAATCCATAAAACCCTCGTAAATTCCTAAGAACAATATCCAATACCGAAATGGTTAAATTTTTCCCCCGACCAAATCATTTTTCGAGAATTGCCATTCCCAACTGAAAAAACATCCATTGTACGACAACAAAACCAAAATAAATTCAATTTATTACAATTTATTTTATATTATTAGAAAAACCAAAAGGCAACTTATCCTATAAATCTTATAAAATCCATAAACTCTCGAAATATTTAATCCTAATATGATAATTCTTCCAAAATCATACCCAAATTCAAATTATTGTGTGTGTGTGTACACAATAGAGTGGTTCAAATATATATTCTATAATCTAAAATGTCAAATGTCACATTAAGCCATTAACTCATTTTTTAAATAGTTTTCTTAAAATTTATCGATTGGTTGATTCTCCTAAAATAATCTTCTTGTGTTTGTTGGAATATAATTTGACAGAAAAATGCAATTTCAGGTGTCATTATAGAAAACCATGCAACATTAGTCACAAAAAACGGCACATGGTAATCGAAAAAACATCTATCACCAAAAGACGTTTGAAGAAAAGTTTTGGGACGAAAAAAAAAAGTTTCAAATATTAAATCGAAATTATGAAATCAAATAAAGCAATGGACTTCAATACAGACTTTCCGACTATGAGTGACGAAAAAAAAATTATATCAATTGTCAATGATTTATCTTAAACATGCCATTCTCTATCTCCGCCTAAATTTATTAATCAACCTAACCTAACTTTTTTCTCTTTAATGTAAAACACTTCGCCAAAAGAGCTATCCAAATTGTAAAATCACATGCTTCGAGAAAAAAGTTCAAATAAAGCCGTAGGTACCAAATACGTGTCACTTATTCGCGTTTACCAAATCATCATAGGATATCCTTAAAACCGTCTTTTGTCGTGTGCAAACTAACTACTAATTAGATTTGCTATATTCGCCGTATAAACTCAACGTGTATATATAGATAACTTCCCACATTGAGCACATCCACAGGTACGTGTGCGTGATTATGTGTAAATCTACGGTTCAAAACTATTAGTACTAGATATAGCATCTACATTCTACAAAACCCAATTTTCGATCTTTTTCGAACACATAGAGCAAAAAAAAAAAAAAAAAAAAAAAAACTCCGATTATAATATCATGCAATTGTTCGAGCAAAACATAATCTCATGATTAAATTAGCAGAAAGAAACAGTACCAGAACGAGGGTGAAGTTTCAGCATATGGATTAACCCCAGCACCAAGTTTTAAATACTGTCCGAAAAAATTAATAAGATAGAATTAAAGAAATAAAAAAAAAAGGGGGGGAAATTAATTTCGGAAGGAAGTAAAATAAATAAAACATGATAGTAACAAAATAAAATTTCCAACTTCCAAACCTGTAGATAGAAATTTCCCATTCTTGATTCTATGCGTATCAGCTTGTTCAAGGAAACAAAAATCTTCCTTGTCTGAGTTACATACATCATTGAAATTCCTCGCAATAAAATACAAATAAAAATAGTTAAAAATAATAATTATTACAATTATAAAATAAATAAAGATTAGATGAACTAGAAAGAAACACCCCATGTTTAATTTTCACATAAAATATAAATAAATTTGTGTATTTTCATTTTATGTAAGAGACATATTTCAAGAATTCAAATAAGTATAAATCTTGAGAGAAAATTGGGATTTAAATAAATAATTAATTAATAAAAATGAGCATAAAAAACCACAATATCTTCCGTTAAATCAGAACCGTATGCAGGCGTACCTTCCCAAAATCTTGAACAAGAACATCAAAAGTCACGCCCAACTCAAGACCTGTTGCGCTGGATAACCTATGTCGGAAAAACACAACCTAGATTTTCACTAATTAAATAAACAAGAAAACAAAAATACATATATGCAAAGGGTTTCTCAAATTCTCAACCCTTCTTCATCATTCCAGAAAATTTTCCACGATGAATTATTTTACCACTTCAGAACAATAAATCTTCGCAATTTCATGTATACATATTTCTCTCTCTCACCTTTTTGACAATAAAACACACACACACACACACTGAGTTCTTCGTGTATTTGGTGCAGTGGGGGTAGAAATTGTGGGAAGCCAGAAAATCAATTGATAGAGGAGAGAGAGAGAGAGAGAGAGCTAGAGAGAGAGAGAGAGAGTGAAGCTGACAGAGAGAGAAGTGAGCAATCGCATATGCAAAAATATACACTTTATACAATTGCCTGCGATTGCTCACTCTCTTCTGTCAGTTCTGATTCCCCCTTCTCTCTTTTTTGCAGTCCATTTTCATTTTTTTTTTTCTTTCTATTCGAGGTACCAAAAGGACACCACTTGGGCGGTGGATGCTACACCCGGCTATTTATATCCGATAATTTGATTCATAAATTTAATCATACATACACATCAGTGTGTGTGCGCGCGCGCGATTATACGGTGCAAGTCCATAATCAGTCATAACATCTAATTTAAATTTAAAGACACCACATGTGTATAAAATTTTCGATTTATCCAAGTGCGAAATAGGAAACCAAGATTCGAAAAAGATAGAGATGGTTGATGGTTTAGATTCAACGAATCCTGCAAATTCAATTTGGATTATACTTTTGGATATTTTGCCGAAATGTACGACCAAGATTAACAAAGAGATTTTTTTTATCTCTTTCTTCATACTTTACTCTTGCCAAAACTTATTGAATTACGAATATGAAAACACACACACACACACATATATTAACAACTAGTGTACTCATAAGTAGTACATGCATCCGATAAAATAAAATTCATCAAATTCCAACAAAATAATTCAAATTCGTCCATACATTGTATGAATTAACCAGTCAAGTGATGTGATCACCTCGGGAGTCGTGTTGACAGGTTTTGTCTCTCCAGAAATTTTTTTTTTTATTTAGTCATAAATAAATAGGATACATAAATAAAAAATGATTTGATCAAATTTGGATCGTTATTTCTTCTCATCTAGTTTATTAATATTTAATATTAAATTGGGCTAAAAAAATGAAATTGGGCCTGTAGGGCAGAGAGCCTAAATAAAAGGCAGGCCTAAATTATATAAAGCACTAAAAAAGTAAAAACCAAACCCCAATTGGAACGGTAGTTAGTACGGCCGCGTCATTCACTAAAATAGTAATAATAACAAAAAGAAGGAATAGCAGCTCCCCTTATTTCTGCTTGACTTTGACAGCCCTTTTCAAATTATAATTAAAATTAAAAATTAATAACTCCGTTGAAAGTCGCCGTGAAGCCCCAAAATCACGGCTTGGAAACGGACGTGGGTCCTTTCATGAGGGAAGAGGGTTCTCCGGCGTCAACGGTGGCGGAGTGGACCGACATAGTAGGAGAAATGGGTCCCGCGGAGAGGTGGTTGGAGGAGGAGGGTATGATGGGGTTCCGGGAATGACAGGTGGCGGTGGAGATGGCGGTGGCGAGAGAGATGGGCATGAGGCAGAGGCCTTTGCCTTGTAGGTATTGCATGGCGGAACCCATGTCGTCCTCCATCAGCTTCGCCACCTGGTGCTCCGCCACAGCCATACCCTCGTTGTTGTTGTTGTTTGATGATGACGCCGCCGTCTGTGTTCTGTTACCGCCCCTTCCCTGCACAGTCATCTCACTCCGTTTAGTTTCATGCATTTCGTTGATTGAAAAAGAATATGTAAATTCTGATAAATTATTCATGGGTATTATTGTCATTAACGTGGTGGGGTTTGGGTTGGGTTGGGTGGGTTTAATTGGAAAGCAAATAATTAATCAATTAGAAAATAAATTATATATATATAATATTGGGTAAATTACGAAAACCCCCTAAACTTAGGCTAAATAACGAAAATCACCCCACCTATCCGTAATAACCAAAATCCCCCCTTATTAACTGTTTAACAGAAAATGTGTAATCTATTATACATTCTGTTAAATAAGTGAGAAATAAAAAAAATACCTATAATCGTGTAAAGTCTATTATCTGCAATAAAACAAAAAGTCCGTGAAAGGGTTGGTGCAAGACGGAAACAAACCTCATGGGGTTTGTGTTTTGTAATTACAAATAGGTGGAGGTGGACTTTTGTAATTTAATCTAAGTTTAGGGTGTTTTTGTAATTAACCCTGTAATATATATATATATATATATATATATATATATATATATATATATATATATATATTACCTCTGAGGATGTATCAGTGACAAGTGGGGCAAGGGCACCAGCACCAGCACCGCCTAATCTGCTCATGCTTAGAACCTGTATGCATTTAAATAAAATAAATAAAACAATATAATGGAAGAATCTTAGAACCAGTTGCTTTATAAAACATTGCTTTCCCCATACCAATTAATTTGTTCAATCAATACATTTGGGGTTTATAATCTTTGCAAATATATAAATATATCTTTCAACTCGATTTTGATAAGCAATTGAGTCGAGCTATAAAATTTTAATCGAGTCAAATATAAATCAAGCTCGATCTCCTTAATTTTTTTAACCGAGCTCGAACTTCATATATAACTTATTAAACACAAATATTTGTTCGAATTTGGCTCGTTATGTGAACAAATGGAGCTCAGACGATCTCAAATCGACTAATTTCTACCGCTACTCTACACATTTTTTACGGAGTTTTTTTAACATTGTCAACATTCATCCAGAATTTCATACCCATTATCATAAATAAATACCTACTGCATAAGTATTATTAAACAAATATTACTAGAATAATTGTGTGTGTGTGTGTGTGTGTGAGAGAGAGAGAGAGAGAGAGTACTTTGACTTGGAGCTGTAGGAATTTGACATAGTCGATGATCTCATCTAGCATTGACGCTTTGTCTGTCTGTCATTCCACAAATAAACTATGTCATAATCTCATCTCATTATTAACAACTCTTATCTTTCTGTACTCCCAAAAGGGTTATTAAATTCCAGACCCTATATTATATTTTATACAAAAATTAATTAAACTCTTCTAACAAAAAATATTATAATTCATCAGTTTTTGTACACACAACACACACACGACCCACACGCACGAAACGTGCCAGGCTTTATTTAGACACAAACTAACAGACTTCCGGGTGAGATATTATCAACTGATTAAGTGAGTTCTCTAATCATTTCCATTTCATCTTCGCCACACACGTTTCCACATGGACACGTGCCACATATGACACCTCTTGCATTGGGAAAAAATTCACGGAATTGCTGTAATTTTTATCCGGTCAAATTACGAGAACCCCCAGGTAAGGTAACTGAAGGGTAAAACAAACAAAATAGATTTTATGTGAATTTAATTAAACAACCAAACAATGGTCATTTGTAGGTTTTTGTATTATGCAAACATAAGAGGAGTTTTTGTAATTTGGCCTTACTTCAGGAGTTTATCGTAATTTATCCTAATTATTATTATATGCAAACGAAGCTGACAATAACTGAAGGTAAATTGTACTTTTGATTCAATAAGTATGCATTTTTGTGTAGCAAAATTTATTTCGTGGGGCAAATTTGGTCAAATTTTCGTCTAAAAAAATGAGCCAAAATATTGCCGCCACGTGGTATACTATTTACTAGCAGTTAGGCAGCAGGGTAAATTAGTAATCATGCTAATTAATGAAGGTGGAGCGAAAGTACTACCTTGTTAGCATTGGGTACAAGCTCCTGTAAACCCTTCATTCTCTCCGCAATCCTCTCTCTTCTCAACTGCCCCCATGTTTCATTTTCACCACAAAGAAAACAAAAAAAAAAAACAAAATCAAAACCCCAATATTCTCTCAACAACTACAATCAAACAAAACATAGAAAATGACCACAAAAATTAATTACTAAAATATCAATTTAAAGAATTATTATATTTAAAAAAAAATAATTATAGTTGTTGATAGACAATATTGACTGACATACCCTTTCAGCAATACTGTGAGGGTCGGTGGCCTGCCCTCGCCTGGCCCTCACCTTCTGCCTGGGCCCTCCCGCCGCCCCACCTCCGCTTGTCGCCGGCTGACTCATCGCCGCCGCCGCCGCCGCAGGGGCTTCGAAATTCTGAGGGTGGTGGAAATGGTAGGGTTCATTTGCAGTTTGACTTAGTGACCCGGTGAAACCATTGAATAGAGATTTAACTGATGCATCATTCGCCTGTGTCTATTTATTTATTTATCACACCGAATAATTCATCAACGTACAATTCGAATTTTTCAAATTGATTTCCGTTATTTTATAATTTTGAAAAAAAAGTAGATTAAAATTAAATAAAAATAAGCGCTGACCGGATTATCAGAATTGAAGGAGGTGCCGTCGTCGTCATCCTGAGGAATGGAGAGGAGGCCGTCGTCGCCTCCAGGCGGCGATCGGAAGCCATTGGCGGCGGCTAGGGTTCTGGAGAAAAACTGCTGCTGCTGCTGCAGCATCAACGCCTTGGCGGCGGCGTTGCTGATCTGAGGGTGCCTCATTTTCGAAGCCGCCGACTGGTCGCCCAAGTGAGGGAGCAGGCCAGGAGACTGGTCGTCGGCCCAGGGGAAGGAGGAGGCGGCGCCGGCGGCGGAGGAAGGGACGGAGGAGAGAATTTGTTCGAGGAAATCGTCGTTAGACGACGTCGGATCGAAGTATGGAGAAGAGGATAACTGGCCGTGGCTGTGAATTTCCTGGAGGTTCAGCAGCGAGTTTAGATTGTTCATCGCCGGAAATTCGCCGCCGATCTCTCGCATATATATATATATGTATGTATATGTGTGTATAATCGGAGAAAGAGAGAATCGTGTTTGGGGATTGGGAAATTTTGGAATGTTTATGGAAAAATGAGGACTCTACCCTCAAGACTAGACTTCTGTGTAGCAATAAATAGCAAATGCTACTGTACACTCTCTCTCTCTCTCTAGCTTTCTCTCTCTACAAATATAGAAACATAATTATGTATGTATAGGCAGGTAAACCTTATCTTTTAGTATAAACGTGGGGGCTCTTAGCTCTATAATTGTGGGATGTTAGTTTGGTTTCATTTTCAATTTTCAAATATCTATATTTGGATTAACGGTTATTATAATTTATGAATCACGATTTGTATTTTATATGGCATTATTCTATTTTTAATGTTGCTGTAACAAATAGATTAGTAGTAGGAAAACTAATGGACTATACATAAATGCCCATCCTTTTAATGTATAATATGGCTTTTATTTTGAGCCCATTTGGAAGCCCAATGGCTTTTATTCAATTCTAGATTTATTAAATGGTGAAATTCGAATCCGTGACCTCAATATATATATTCGAGCCTTAAGGGTCCATTGGGGTACTTATATCGGATTAGTTTGGATTAGAGAAAACTGAATTAGTTATCTACTGGCTATTTAATTATGTAGTTAGTAAAATTTTCGGTTCATTCGATTCAATTTTGTATTAGATCTGTTAAATTCTGATAGTATATATGATTTGTTTATAAAATTTTATTTAATGAATTAACATGTAGATTGAAGACTAAAATTGTCTCTTATTTAGTCGTTCCCCTATTAAATGTACTTTCAGTGGATGAATGTTACTAATTTAATGAATTAATAGCATATGATAACGAATCTGATTTTAGTAGCATGTTTAGAAATATATATATATATATATATATATATATATATATATATATATATAAATTGAATGATGAAAGAATAATATATAATTTCTTATAAACTTTAATAAAATATTCAATTATAATCTTATTATACACATTAATTGCACCTTGGAATCACCAAAACACTAGAGGCTATAATGGTCTGCACTATTATGGTTCCCATTTTGACATTTGCATTCCCAAAGATAACATCCTCCTAACACCGCCGTTTTCTTTTTAATTAACTTGTAAATTTCATTTTATTTCATCCATATATTTTACCCATTTTTTATATTAATAAAAATAAAATATAATATAAAATATTTTACTTACACGATACGAATACTTTGTTTCTAGGAGTGGCCAACATAATGTTGCACAATTATATAAAATTAGGAGTAATTCTACACAAGAATAATTAGCAAAATTGATATAAATCGAACATATTGACATTCGTAATTATAATTAAGAGTCCGTTTTGGTAAGTTTATTGTAAACAAATGATAATCTCTGACATGTCAGATAATATGTTTTAAGAGCTAATAAATTGTTACACTTAGATTTTATTTTTATAATTAATTTCTAAAGCGTTGGTTCAATTAGTTGTGATTAGGTCTACTCCGAAGGTTTAATTTATAATAGATGTTATATATATAATATAGTGATGGATATCTTTTATATATAAATAAAAGATACGTATGTAAAGTGTACACCACTAAATATATAAAGTATTTACTATGTGTGTGTGTGTGTGTGAATTATTGATTTACTTTATTGTTTATTCTAATGTGAATATATTTATTTTGCTAATTATTATAATTAATTGGTTATTATCATTGTTTCGACCCTATTGATATTTTATGTCGGAGGGTACGTTCCTTTACATATATTTTCATGTAATTAATTAAACGTTTATAACATATTATATATATTATACTATGAAATATATTACATTATCTAATGATTTCAACTCTTTGGTAGCGAACAATGTTTACATAAACTCCGACCAATGAGTATCCAAATTCAGTGTTTCGGGGCATGTTCGTTGAACTATGAAATTTAAGATGCATTTTAATAAATACTAAATAAATTATTTTTTTATGTAATAATATTCGAAAATTGACCATAATTATTTTTGTTTGTTATTAAGTACACTAATATTCAATCTTATGTTTTGTGTACACTGCGATAAAAATTAGTCAAACTCCGAACGTCCGAGTTATAAAGAGAGTCAACGATCGATTTTATTTTATTTTACCCTTATTTATTTATTTTACTATTTTGTATATGTGCACAAACTAGGTTCACGTTTATTATGTGGCTAATAAAATTCCAGAAGATTGAAAATGTGGTTGACATTTGTTTTTTAAAGATTGAAAATATTAGTCGACAATCTTCATAAATAATATATGCTTTAATCTTTATATACTAAAAATGGTTCCCTGCAAAAGTTTGAATAATCAATCAATCATGAAGAATATTTTTTTTTTAATTTAATTCCAAGAAATTTGTGATTAAATGTTCTGATAAATAGACATGATTTGATTTCATATAATGGGACTTGTACCCAAGATGGAGTACATAATTCCATATTCCATTCTTGAATTTAAATCAGTGATTTATTCCATATTATATTATCATTATTAAACCCATAAATTTGGCATACTTTTCTAGCTTGATTTAACCATATTATTATTTATTTAGTACAATTAATTTGGTTTGTTTGAAACACACCAACTGCCAGCCAATCCTTGTGACTATTATCGGAGCTGACTGTCATCCCGGAACCAATTGAGATATATATATATATATCTATATATATATATCTATATCTCTATATCTCTC